AGAGAATTCATGAATGGAAGTGAAACGACGCAACTGACGCAGGTACGTCACGTGACCGTGACAAAATGGCGGATGTAGTACGTCCGAATTCCATTCATACTTTTCACATTCATACTGTATAGAATGCACTTTTCTAATGGCCGAGTAGTACGTTTAAATTCAAATGCAGTACCTACTGAGTAGTAGGCGGTTTCGGACGCAGCCCATGTGTTCCCTCTACCACAACTAAATCTCTTCTTCATTCACCCACTCACCTATTATACATCCCAGGTGTCTGACCAGCGCCCTCTAGTGCCCTGTAGTTCCATTAGAACAGCATTTTTAGTCACATTATTTATTTCCAGAACTGAACAATTTAAGTATAGTCTACAAAACCGGCAAGTTAAATAAACTTAAATATGCAAGTTTTGGAAGACTCCATTACTCAATTAAATTGAGGCAACGAGTTTACTTAATTAATTTCGTTCAGGCAACTTATTAGGGTTTTCAGCGTGGGCATTTTATGTTATAACTAACGTGGTTCAAGTGATAGATCTGCGACAAAGCAACTACGGGTTTTGGGAAACACTCGTCACTACATTGTTCTTTTCCCAAACGATACATCGTACTATGATAGTTCAGCCACAGTTCTGTCATAGTTTGGGAAACGCACCCCAGAACAGCAGTAAAATATGCATATTAAAATAAAAAGATTATGTACAAAGTTTCTTTGTTTTGCATGAAAAGGCTTATTCACACACACACACACACACACACACACACACACACACACACACACACACACACACACACACACACACACACACACACACACACACACACACACACACACACACACACACACACAAACACACACACACACAAACACACACACCCACTCTCAACCCTTAATCACATTTCCAAGCTTATTGCAAAGCTTTCTGGGAAAATGTTGAAAGGGCAAAACTCAGCATTATCCCAAAAAACCCACAGCCACACAAACATGCTGATCAACACTCTCACTTCTACTTATTTCTTAAAAATACTAGCCAAAACACACACTAATCACCTCATATAAAGCCTCATTATATTTGCATCTTGAATTAGCACTGTATCTGAAAGCTGCCCCACACACACACTTTATTCATTATCTCTCTATTATCGTGCATGGACACAGACTCAGACAATGATCCACACACACACATACAGGGCCAAATGGTGGGAGTGTGAAAGCAGCATAAATAGAGAGAAAGAGACTGACTCATTAAATATGTATAATCCTGCAGTCTCATCCATTCAGCTCGGCTAAGTACTGTCCAAATAGAAAGCGTTCAGCAACAGGCCTCAGTTCAAAAGCCCAATTGTCTTTAACCTCTCAATAGCTCGAACAGAGAACAGGAAGAGCCGCCGGTGGCAGCAAACGTTCATCATAAAGAAATAAAGGACGCAGCAGAGCTAATTTATGGCTGGAGATATGCTTTATCTCCACATGGCATGATTTAAGGTCACGCTGTTCTGAACTCCATGACTTCGTTGCTGTTTTCTGCACAACTTTTTTTTCCTTCTTTCTTTCCTGTCTGACCTCTGTTATGCAACGCGGGACTTCCAGACTGTGTTTTGTCCTGTTCTGCTGAGGCACGGCAAGCATTATGCAATCATTTCTGCTGAAATAGACAGGCGCTGAAAAATCAATGTCTCCATGCTCGTTTTAAAGGGTCAATTTAGCATGCGGTGAAAAATATTTAATGATCAAAAAGTCATGAAGACATGTTTTTATCTGACTTGAACTTATTTAAATATGTTAATTAGTTTTAAGTGGTGGACGGTAAGCATTTTACCTTACTGTTTACTGTAATTGAGTACATATTTTAAGTATATGTAAATCAATATCTGTTTTATCTTCATTTTAAATGTCAATTTAGCATTCTGTGAATCAAAAAGTCAGGACGCCACATATTTGTGTTACTTTAACTGATTTTAATATGCTACACAGTAAGCATTTTTACCTCACTACTGTACTTAAGTACATATTTAAAGTATTTAGAAATCAAAGTCCCTGCTGGCCTTATCTAAAAGTATCAATTTAGCATGCTGTGAAAAACATTTAATGATCAAAAAGTCATGGCGACACGATTTTTGTGTTACTGTAACCTATTTGAATATGTTAATTAGGTTTAAGCAGCGAACAGTAAGCATTTTTACCTCACTATCTACTCTACTTAAGTACATATTTTAAGTATTTAAGTACACTGAAAAAAAGATTCATTGCGTTTACTATATTTTTTTAGGGTAAGTGGTTGAAAACAATTGATATGGGCTAATAATTCTGACTTCAACTGTATATACTTTTGAGGTACCAATATGAACCCTTCAAGTACAAATGTGTGCCTTTTCAAATGGTGCCACCCCAGTGATAGCTTGTGTACCTTTATTTCTGAGTGCACTTACCTTAAAAAAATATATAGTAAATCCAATGAATATTTTTTTCAGTGTACTATTTTTTTTTTTTTTTTTCATTTAGGAAGCTTTTGCTTCACTACTTTCCAAAACAAAAAGTTAACTTTTTACTCCACTACATTAACTAAATGATGAAGAGTGAAAAAGGAAGAAATTGCAACTTGCTCTGGGACAAGTTTTGAAAGTGAAATTTAACCTGTTAAATTGTTTTCATAAAATTGTAATGAAAAATGATTGCGTGAATTGGATGAATGTGCACATACCGTACCATAAAACTCTCCAGCAATATTTTTTTTATTATAAAGTGCTTTCATATATAATAGTGCCCTCCACTAATATTGTACTAAAACTAGGAAAATATAAAAAAAAAATTCTCACATGAATACATAAGGATACCAGTAACTGTAGTGCATACAGTTGAAGTCAGAATTATTAGCCCTCTTTCAATTTTTTTCTTCCTTTTTAAATATTTGCCAAATGATGTTTAACAGAATAAAGAAATTTTCACAGTACGTCTTATAATATTTTTTCTTCTGGAAAAAGTCTTGTTTGTTTTATTTCAGCTAGAATAAAAGCAGTTTTTAATTTTTTAAACACCATTAAATAGATAAAATTATTAGCTCCTTTAAGCGATATATTTCTCGATAGTCTACAGAACAAACCATCATTATACAATACCTTTCCTAATTACCCTAACCTGCCTAGTTAAACTAACTAACTTAGTTAAGTCTTTAAATGTCACTTTAAGCTGTATAGAAGTGTCTTAAAAAATATGTAGTCAAATATTTACAGTCATCACGGCAAAGATAAAATAATTCAGTTATTAGAAATGAGTTATTAAAGCTATTATGTTTACAAATGTGTTGCAAAAAATCTTCTCTCCATTAAACAGAAATTGGGGAAAAAATAAACAAGCGGTCTAATAATTCAGGGGGGCTAATAATTCTGAAATCAACTGTATAAGATCTGCTTTTTTGAGCACTTTGTTTGGAATTGTTTAGTCTCAATAAGAGTTTTTTATTGTTAATATATTTAATAAAAGATCATAAGGTTAAACAATAAAGACATTGCACAGCGTTCTTCACTGTGTTATCACCTTTTAATTAAAGCATTATGGAGTACTTCAGAAGATGTTTTTCAAACTGGTGTTCTTGAAAATGCGTATAATATATAATGTTATCAAGTTATAATTGTATAACAACAACCACAAATACGTATTCATTTAAAGTTTCACTGCTGCATTTTTCACACTTATTGTAAAACTTTATTAATTATTAAAAACTAATCAAATTAATCTATTTTTTGTATTTAAGAATATTTATCTTATTAAATAATAAATATTAACAATTATAATCATTATAAATTATGTTTTAATGGTTATTAGATTGTTATTATATGATTATGACATGTCATGTTTTTATCTTTGGACATTTTCAAGGACACCGGCCAGTTTGAAAAACATCTTCTACCGAAAAACTCCACCCAACACACACGTCAGCAAAGCAAATCCGCCTATCCCACGTCAATCACTTCCTTCACCAATCATACGCGTTTCTGGAAACGCAGAGAGGCGGGGTCAAGTTGTCATGCCCGCCTTTATTTTTATTTCCTACAACAAAGTAACATTCTCAGCGCTATTTTAACCCGTGTAATTCTGTTTTTATTTGTTTCGCAGTTCACGGACTTGCGCAACTGATAGACATAAGCGTTTCACGCTTGATATCTCAATAAAATTCTTTCAAGAAATGCTTTACAGGGTGTCGCATTACCGGGGCTTGCAGAACCGCGTGCATGTAAACATGGGCACGTCAGCGCGCGATTAACGTTTCCCGGGTACTGCTGTATGTTAAACAAGGATGGATATTTGTCTTTAAACTCAGGTAAAGCTCATTTTTACCATGTTTTTTGTTTAGCGTATAGGTACTTAATGCACGCTATACTCTGTATTTCACATTATTTATGAGTTACAGGTTTTCGCTCAGCAAAATAAAATGTGGTTTTGTCTTAAATACCTAGAATGCTCACTATCTAGATAGCATTTTTAGAACGTATACAACGTACAACAATGTTGCTTATCTAGGCAGTGTTATGTTTTGAGAGCTTTCGGTTAACGTTACCGGGTGTTGTCTCTGACAGTAACCGGCTGCAGCCGGTTTAGACCGTGTTGATTTTGCTTCCTCCTCTCAGTCTCAACCAGCCGAGTTTAGTCAAATGTGGTTAAACAGATTTTTTTTACTCCAGCGTTAACTGGAATGTGTTCACATTCGGGAATTTTACAACAATTTCTCCTTTCCCTCCTTCTCTCATATAGTGAAAATGTAAAAACATTATCTCTTGATTTTTTGGTTGTTTACAACTTTGAAATAAATTGCTATAGATTTTCAATGTAACAAAATCTCTATTAAAACTCTTAAACTTCTAAAAAATCTGGGAGGTGATTTCCAAGTGTGCAGCAGCTTTGTTGGCAGGTATATAACAGAGGAAATCCATATCAGCTGATAATGCTAACAGGGTTTAGATTTATTCTGCATTAGGAGTCAAATGTGTTTCTGTCCTTGTTTCAGGTCTCTTCATTCTCATCTGCGTCTGCCTGTGTGTCAGTTATGGACAGCACTAAAGTGACTCTGACAGTGAGAGGGAGCACAGCACTTGGTAAGACGAAAAGAATCAATAACACTGTACAACTTTTAGGTCAGTATTGCTAATTATATTATTTATCAATCAATAGTAAATTAATAAAATTTTGTTTAATCCCTTGCAAGTTGTTATTAAGTTAGCTGCTCTTAAGATTTAGTTTTAAATAAAGTATTAATATAAAAAAAACACCTTTTAAAGTGTTAGAATCTATTGGAGTGTGTTCAGTCAGTATCTCCTCTAGCAGAGGCTGTAATGTTTTGATAATCATACATCTGGGATTGAACTTGGTGACAAACGTGCCTAGACATGCTCTTTCTTTCTAGTTTATTATGCTTGTTTATTTTACTTTACAAAAAGTCAAGTGAAAATTTATTTTTATGCTTGCATACTTTTTAATACAAGGTTTTAATTTTTTTAAATATTTTTTTTCCTGAACTTTTTTGTTTTGTTTTATATAATGCATTATATGATGTTATATCGTGTTTACCCTAATGTGTTTGCATTATACATTGCATTTAAGATTTATATATGGATCAGAAACTTTTATAAAAAATATTGATAAGTACATAATACAAAACTTAAGTTAAAACTAGTTAAAAAAAGTTAAAACTACCAGCCAGCCAGTTTACCCACAAGTGTTGATACGTAAAGGCATAATTCACCCCCCTAAAAGAAAATTCTATCATTGTTTACTCACCTTTTACTTGTTTCAAACCTTTATGAGTTTCTTTCTTCTGCTGAAAACAAAAGAAGACATTTTGAAGAAAGCTGGAATCCGGCAACCTTTGACTACCATTGTAGTTGCTTTTCCTACTATAGAAGTTAGTGATTACAGTTTTTCAGCTTTTTACAAAATATGAAGAGTTTCAGTGCAAAACGAGATATATCCATTTTGAGAAATGTTGGTTATTTGACATTATTATTTAAGACATCAACAGTCAAGTTCGTTTACAATTTTTGTACATTAAACTATTATTTGAGCTCAGTGAAGGCCAGAAACAATATTTTCAAATCCAGAATATTTTTTTATTTAATTTTCTGTCTATAAATAGTTCATAAATAAGTCAAAAAACATGTCAAAATGCAACATATTAATCTTAACAATGTCAAACATCTTAAATTGGTTAAAAAAACAATACATCATAAATATATGGAATAATAAATACAAAGATTAATTATTAATAATTAATTAATAATTAAGCTATATTCTACTACAGTAATACCATTAAGAAAAGCTAGTAAATCAATGTTTTGTTTGATAAATAAGATTAAGTTAGTTAGATAAATGACTTGTAGCTTGTTACAGAAAGAGTGGAGCGTGGCTCCTTCTACACGCTACTGAAAACCAAACCTATATGAACAGAGCGGGCGGAGCCACAGTGTCTCCAAGTGCGCGACACAAGCTCGCCTCGCACTGTCATATTTGATTAATTATTTCACTGTAATTTTAATATTAATAATAATAGCTTAATCATTTTGTTGTTGTGAAAAACCAAAGCCTTTTATTTTTCTCCATAACAACCTGTGCCCTTTATGTTCCCTCACGTCCCATTCACACGGGGCGTCAGCGTCAACGCTTCCCATTCACTTTGAATGTGTGACGTCAGGCACTGCCGAACTGCAATGTGGATTCTTCGGCGCCGCTTTAGAGGTGTTGCTCACTGCAGAAGTTGGGACTAGCTCAACTTTTCAAGCGCTGACGGAACCGTCAGCCAATCAGATCGCTGTATGCAAATACACCAGCTAGACAGTGGACTATTGCTGACTGAATTTCATTGGCTGACGCTGCTATGACGATCACGTTAGCCCCAACTTCAGACACGCCTTCAGTCAAGCGTTGACGCTGAAGCCCCATGTGAATGGGGCGTTATAGTAAATCAACAACAACAAGAATTAACATGTGGTCTTAGGCTATAAATAATAGGTGCAACCGCATAAATAAATCGTCAGATAGGCTACTCGGCTACATGTAAGAAATTATTTAAAAAATAAACTTACAAGGTCACTTAGAAATGTCGCCTTGCAGACTGGTATCTTGTGATGGGGAGGAACGCAGGAAAAAAGGCGCTCCCTGGCCTTCCTCTTAATTGACATCAGCGGAGACTCGTTTCCTGCTGCATTTGTGTGTTGTTGACAGACGCAGGAGTATCTAATTCTGGTCCACTTTATTTATACTTATAAATGTAATGTAATGTATTTGTATATGTATATGTAAATGTATTTATACGTTTTTGTGAAGTTGAAGGCTTCCATCGTTAAATCAATGAGAAAACTCGGAGCACTTCACCGGCGGTGACTCTCTTCCCAGGGGATGCTCAGCTCGCGAAGCATCCTGAACGTTCTATTACTGTTATATTGCACTTTGTAAAGAAACTGGTCTGGCGGATATCGCGTTTTGTGAAAAAATATGTTTTGTAATAGGCCTAAAATGTATATTCTTAAATGTTATTAATCGCAGCAACTCACACATAGATCTGAACAGTGATTTCCAATAATAAAAACCAAATGTCCAAAGCGTTTTGCAACCAAACTCTTCATATCTTTTGTGTTCAACAGAAGAAAGAAACTCATAAAGGTTGAGGGAGGGAAAATATTGAGTCAATTTTCAGTTTTGGGTGAACTATTCCTTTTACTATGACTGTAGTATTTCTGTAACACATCCCCTGGAAGCACATTCCTTCATTCACCACAATAGAGAGACGTAATAAACTTGTTTTATGCTGTTTTCTTCTGTGTCAGGTGAGGTGATCGCAGTGGTTGGCAGTTGTGAAACCCTGGGCAGCTGGTGTCAGCAAAAAGCCGTGACCCTGCAGCCGGCAGAGGAGGATGGGTACATGTGCAATGCCATCTTATGTTTGCCTTCAGTTACCCTTGACACGCATATTTATCTCCTGTGTTTTGCTCACATGCCTTCTCTCACCTCCCAGCACCTTATGGAGAACAACCATTCACGTTCCTAGAGGAGCTGAAACCAAATATCGCTATTTCAAAGCATTCATTTTGGAGTCTAAGGTGAGATTCTCCTTTCCTAGTAAACACATGATATTTGACATAAGTCATCTTTAAAGGTCCTATGGTGAATTGATTAGCCTTAGCGGGACCTTTTAAGAGCAGTCTCAGCGTAATGTATCTATAGTTGTTATCAGTGTTGGGCAAAGTTACTTTTAAAAGTATTATACAGTGCTCAGCATGTATAAGTACACCCCTCACAAGTCTATCTTCTAAAATTCACATTTTTAATAAGAAGCTATATGATATTATTCATTCATTTATTTTCTCGTCGGTTTAGTCCCTTTATTAATCGGGGGTCGCCACAGCGGAATGAACCGCCAACTTATCCAGCAAGTTTTTACGCAGCGGATGCCCTTCCAGCTGCAACCCATCTCTGGGAAACATATACACACAAACACACACTACGGACAATTTAGCCTACCCGATTCACCTGTATTGCATGTCTTTGGACTGTTGGGGAAACCGGAGCACCCGGAGGAAACCCACGCGAACGCAGGGAGAACATGCAAACTCCACACAGAAACGCTAACTGAGCCGAGGTTCGAACCAGCGACGTTCTTGTTTTAAGGCGAACGTGCTACCCACTGCATCGCCCTATGTGATATTATACCAAAGTCAGCTTTATTGTCAATTCAACCACATGTACAGGACATATAGAGAATCGGATATACGTTACTCCCAGACCCTTGGTGCCAAACATAAAATATTAATAGAAAAAGTAGTGTTTTAGGAAGAATTGTTACAATAAATACAATTATACATAAAATGTAGTCTAAAAGTATATGTCAAGAATGAAAAATTGTAAACAATACAATGATATTAAGGGCATATGGCAATGTGTGCAAACCAGAGTTGTGCAGATATAAAACAGATATTTGCGCATATACATTAGCTTAATCAGTACTGAAGCCGAATCTGGAGCTTATCTAACAAAATAACTTGTGATAACGGTCCAAAAACTAGCACACCCAAGTATATATGTTATAGAAAAATATTTAATACAAATTCAGGACTCAGGAATAAGGACTGCCTGATGGCTCGGGGCTATCGTGGGAGACACTTTGGACAGTAGACAGGATCGTTACTGGTGCCGATGGAAGTTTAATTTATAAGGGTGTCACGATCTTCCAAATCCTCGATTCGATTACATTTTCGATTCTAAAGGCACGATTTGATTCGATTTTCGATTATGAATAATTAATTAATTAATGACCAATTAATTATTTGTAGCCTACCGTTTAAACTACCTGACCTGCGTGGTCTTTGTTTTACCCATAAACAAATCATACAGTAAATGAATAAAGGCAAGATACACGCATAATTACCACCTGTCAATCACTTTTTCTGAGGGACTCGTGAATAGGCAGAGATCTGTGTCGTTATAATGGCGTCGGTAAAAAAAGACGCACAACCAACAGGAACCAGCAAACAGTATCTGAGGTGTTCGCTAAAATGACTAAGTACAAGTGAGTGAAAGATTGAAGCAGTCTACTGATCCTCTGACTGCCTGAACCCGCTGTCTCTAGCGGCTGTGTGTGTGCGTCTGTGTGTCTGTGTGTGTGTGTCAGAGGTAGATAGGAAGGAGGGCTGCTCAGAAATGCTACACGCCACTGTGGATGTCAAATCGTTGTCGTTCTAAAATGCCATTTAAAAACAAAGACAGTGTAAACAGGGCCTGAGTGTGTGCGGAGGATAGCGATGCCGGTGTTGTCTATCGGACGAACCGTACGTAATACGTACATAGCAGAGCTTGCAAAACTGTGTTGTTTTTTTGTCGACAACACGAACGTTGTCAACATAACTCACTGGAAATCCAAAATGCTTACACACCGGCGACTTAATTGAAAGAGGAGAGGATTTAAGCTCAGTTTAACAAGCACTTCAACAAGCCTGTTTTTTTTCCCGCTTGGCAAGCCAAGCTGACGTGACATGGGGGCGTGGCAGCATCGACGATTCTATTTTTTGATTCGATAATCGAAATTGAGCATAAATTTCGATCGATTTCGATTTGACACCCCTATTAATTTACCTGTGACTATTTGTCTATTGCGTGCAAATACAGTCTTAAGGCCCGTGCACACAAATGTTTTTTGCTCACGTTTTTTCGTCGATGTTTACCCCTCGTGACTTAACAAAGGGGGTCAATGTGATCATGCACACCAACTTTTGTTCACGTGCACGGAGCTGCTGAAGTTACTGTAAACAGCACTTGGAGGCGCTCAAGTGCAAAACTGTCAATGCGAGCACACACTGAAGAAGATGCCCAGAGGCGATATGAACGTGGAGCTGCTTATTGCACTGGTGAACAATAATCATTTCTTCATTGCTAGAGCTGGAGCTGCTGATTGAACCATCCATGCTTGTTCGAGTCACCAGTAACTTTTAAGAACAAGCGTGTGAACTTACTCTCTTCCTTTTCTTCTTTGTTATAAGCGGGGTGTCAGAAGCTTAAAGTTGTGTATCGCCATCTAACATCAAGGAGTCATTTTGCATACTCTTCTGCTTGATGCCAGTGTAAATCGCTTGGGTTTGAATACGGAAAAACACCTTGTTAAAACGCTGACGATTAATGCAAACGAAAAGCGTCCCATTGTGTTTGAGCCTTTATAATCTGGAAACAGTTTGTGCTTTTCAGTCATTCATTTCACCAATTTTCCTTCGGCTTGAGCCTTTGAATGCTAAAGCATTATAAATGCTAAAGAATGCATATTGCTTTTCGGTTTGTCTTATCCAATTGGATGTTGCAAACATGTTATTTTTTCCATAACCTGGGAACAACTAGTGCAGGGAAGGCAATATGGAGGCAACATCAAATTATGAGGCTAAAAGACAACATGTTTCTAACATCTTGGAAGCAGACATGTACGTGGGTACAACACAACGAAAAATATAAGCTGATGTTTTGCACAGTTTGGCAAGTTAGCCATAAATGAACAATTTAGAAAAATTAATTGATAAGCAATTTAGAACTGCAATAAAATACCTGCACATTTTTGTTAACATAACACTTTGCTCATTATACATTTCTTAACATTTAAAAAATATTTAAATTCTAGATTAACACATTATTTTTGGCACGTTATTTAAAATAGGTGGCTTAGAATTTAATTTTTTTTCTCTGGCGGGGCCAGTAAAAATCTGAACCACTGGCCTGATTCTGCCAGTAGAAAAAAATCCTTAGCGTTTAACCCTACAAATAAAAAAAAAAAAAAACAGTATAAATCAAGAAAAAAAATGTATTTGAAATTTTGTAGGTTTTTTTTGCAGTATTTTGCTTGAATTTAATTGTATTATCTTTCCATTTCTAAATAGGTTTGGTGATTAAAATATTATTTCAATAAATATATCTGTTTAATAAATCTGTTTTGTTCTAATGCACTAAAATACATTGCCTATATTCACTGTGAAATGGCTAAAAATATTCAGTTTCAAAATGGGCTGCACTCAATTATGCTGAGCACTGTAATACAACTTTAATGTTAATCTAAAAAGGAAACCCATTAAAAATAACATAACATATACTTTCATATTGATTTCCTAAAAATAAAACAAATTCAACAAAGTCATTCCCAGCCACTAAACTTTTCTGACAGGGTATTCAAGTGTCATCGAGTGTCAGATGAGAAAGTAGTATGTTGAGGGATGACTATACAGGAGTTATTATTATGGACAATAGATAGCGAAATTTATTGTTTTTTTTTTAAATAATTTTTAAAAATGCATGACGTTAATACACGAACGCTGTTATAAATGTATTAAAACTTGCGCTTGTTTTTTGTAAAAATTCATAATAATGACAAAAAATACAAATTTGTGCACCTCCTGATTCGCGTGTGAGGCCATGCTGCTGTCCTGGGAAATTTTCGTACCCCTTGGTTTTGAGTGTGGTACTGAAAAATCTCAGTTTCAAGGGCTATCTTGCTCTTCCCCTTAGTCTTATGCCTTCAAGCTCAATAGAATTGGGACGCTCATACCCCTTCACTTGAGAGTGCAAAATGAAAGGTAAGGGGTAGGGCTAAGGGGTGGAACTGGTATTAGCCTTAAAAAACCCTGCAAAAATAGCACTTATATATTATAAATGATTTGTTAGAGGTTAAAGATTTAAATATATTCCTTTTAAAAGGAACTTTACCCAACAATGGTTGTTATTTGCCTTTTTATACTTCTAAAAATGAAATATATAAATCTTAAGCCTATCTTAATAAAAAAAACCTGCAAAAATAGCATAGCACTTACTTTTACATTACTTTCCCAAAATATTTTGTAATAAGTTTGTAATATATTACTTTTAAAATTAACCAACACTGATTGTCATTTAATGTCGTTTTATACAGTTAAAAGTATTATTTTAAACTTGTTTTATATTGAACATTATATAATACAATCTAAATCTTATACCTTTATATAAAAAACAGCAAAATAACACTTTCATATTTATTTTTCTAAAATATAAGAAAGTTTCACATTTAGTTAACTTTTTAAGTGACTTAAGATTGTAATTTGTTACTTTTAAAAGTATCTTTACCCAAAACTGGTTTTTATTTATGAAGCCTTTCATCTCTCTGATAGACATATAATCGATTGTGCATGCATTATCTACTGATATTGTTTAACATTTGTGATTTTCATGATTATAATATTGAGTTGTTTTGATATACATGTATGACTGTAGAGTCTCTTTTAACCCTTTAGCTTACATTGTACCAACTTTTGTCTGTAGGTTATCATTAATCAAAAAAACTCCAAATGTTTTAAGTGGTGTCAGGAGCATAGTTTATGAGTTTATCTAAAGAAATAAATCTTTTGTTTTTCTTAAGATGAAAGTTAAAGGGTTAAGAGAGTTTTCTCAAACATGTGTTTGTGTTTTCAAACATTCCTCAAAGGATTTATTTTAATCATCTTTAATTCTTTTGGTGCAAATAACTAAAAAACAAAGAGTTGTAATTGTATTTAAGAATTGAAAGTTATATGCATTCTCTGATTATGTTGTTGAAGCATCTTGTGATTTTCATGATTGTATTTATAACTTTTTTTATAATCATTTTTTTACGACTAGATTTTCTTTTAAGAGACTTTTCTGAACTATGTTTGTCTTTTTAAACATTCCTCAAGGGATTTCTTTTAATCATATTTAATTCTTTGGGTGCATATAAATAAAAAAAAACTAATAATTGTAATTGTATTTAAAAATTTAAAGTTGCTTTATCTGATTATGTTGTCAACTATTTCAATGATTTTCATGATTATATCCTTTCTAACTTTTTAAAAAGATTTTTATGACTAGATTTTCTTGTAAGAGACTCTCTGAAGTATGTTTTTAAATGTTCCTCAAGGGATTTTTTTTAATCATCTTTAGTTATTTGGGTACAAATAACTAACAACATACTTTTCTTCAAGATTTTAAGTTGTTTAAAGAGTTTTAAATTACCCTGTGTGAGAGTGTGTGGGGTTTTTAGGTCATTCTCCTCACAGCTGTTAATCTCTTTTAGCTGAACTCGACTCCAGTTCTGGGTATCTTTTTTTCTTTCTTTCAGAAGAATGAAGTTTGTGAAACAGGTTTCCTGCAGGCCACTCCTAACATATTGTGTCCTGCATACATAATATTTATACAGCAGCAACATGGCTATAAATATTCTTTTAGGTTTAATTATTTTCTACAAGTATTAAGAGTTTTAGTTAGGGATGTATTTGTGAAAAAAAGTCTCATTGGCTATATGTTTATTTTCACCTATTTTTGTTAATCTGAATCTGATTCCAGATCTGTTTATATGTACTCTAAACGTTGTAATCTGATTCATATATCTGTTTATACACAATAAAAGGTCCTGGTTGCCTTTTAAGCTGAATCAAATTAACCTTATGAGTCCATTGAACTTATGTTAAACTGACTTTCAACAGCTTGCATACTATATACAATTAAGTTAGACCATGATTAACTTAGTGTGATAAGTTACAATGACCAAAAAAACATGTCAGGACTAGCTGATCATATAATTCTCTACAGTCTATGTGTTTTACATACATTCTGATTAAAACGTCTTTGTTTAAAACAGATTAGGTTCAATGTAGAATTAAAAAAGTGAACAGATTTTGCATTTCTTTAAGCAGGTTGTAGTGTCTGACAATAGAAATACTAGTATTACTTTGGGAAGTTAATTTGCACACTGGTGTTTTTATGCACATTTATTGGAAACCATTTAATAATCTTGAATGGCTTTTTTAATGTTTAGTTAAGTGAATGCAAGACATGCATCCCTCACAGTAAACCACAGTATAATTTCTTCAACACATTTCTAAACATAATAGTTTTAGTAACTATTTTCTAATAAACTGGTTTCTTTTAGCTTTGCCATGATGACAGTACATAATATTTTGCTATATTTTTGAGATACTAGTATTTAGCTTAAAGTGCAATTTAAAGGTCTATATAGCTTAATCGGGTTAAGTAGGCAAGTTAGGTTAATTAGGCAAGAAATTGTATTACATCATTTTTTTCAGTGTCAATTGAAAAAATAAATATTCCTTAAGGGGGCTATTAATATTGACCTTAAAATGATTAAAAAAGTATTCTAGCTGAAATAAAACAAATAAGACTTTCTCTAGAAGAAAAATATTATAGAAAATACTGTGAAAATTTTACGAGGGATAATGGGGGATCTTTTTGGGTTTTAAAAGTTTTATTATATCTTTTTAGATTTTCTTTGTTTCATCAATTTCTCATATTTTACCTGTACTTTATTTCTTTAATTGTAATGATATTATTTATAGGGCTAATTTGAACTTGTGTTTAGGTTACAGTGCACTAAAATAAAATAAAGAGCATCATTAAGCAGACTTGTGAAAATATACAGCCAGCAATTTTACATGCTTTATCGTGAATTTATCAAATCATAAGCTGGTTAATGCATGTCAACATTGCACTGTATATACTGTATTTCACACAGACTTCCGATTGGGGAAGTAGTCTGATTCAAGAGTTTGCATGGTACATTTTTTTGGCTGTTGGGTCAGATTAGAAAAAGAAAAAACATCCATTCAAATCCAATCAGAATTAAAAAAGAAAGTTTTTGAATTCAGCTGAACTCTCAGTCCTATTACAAACAGATTATTTGGGCGCATGTAAATGTAGCCATTTGTAAACTATTGAAGTCAAATGGTAAACATTTGAAGCTAAATGCCATTTATTAACTTTCGAAGCTAAAATGCTGATAATTTTGAGGGATGTAAACAAAAACAATGGTCCCAGCATATTTTCTGTTTTACATTTTAAATGTTTATAGCTTCAGAGAATCAAAAAAGAGCCACATATTGATGAATAAGGTTATGATAGCTGTTTTAACATTAAATTACGATTGAATTGCCTCTTGTTACAGCTATGAAATAGTTTGATAACAAGCAGGAAATGTTTATGGGCCAATGACATGACAACATTAAAATGCTTTATATATTTCAGAATGTATAAATACCCTGGATATCTCTAGTTAACCAATTTGAATAATGCCAATGTGTTTTTTCCCTGACTAATTGGTCCCCTTTTCAGATGTCAACCAACTGGCTAGCTGGCAGAAAATGGTGACTACTAAATCTCATTCTCTATTTTTCGGGGGAGTGAAACTTTGGTTTGAATGACCAGAGCTGGCTTTGTTTTTCCAAAATCTGTCAATGATCTTAACCCCCCTCCTTGGAATTACAGAATGCTGGTGGGCCATGCCAAGTCATAGTCAATAGATGGGAGACCCATCAGCTGCCACGATCATTGAGTCCCTCAGGTATCAGATCAGTGCACACGATTGAGTGTCCAATACATCCCGTAAACTAGGACTACACGACATCGGAAAAAAATAGCATTGCAATATTCTGTTATGTTTTTCTGTGATATATATTGCTGTGTTTCCCAGCATTGTTCCTGAATGTACACCAGCTGTAAACATTTTTAACCTCTCCCAAATCAAACATACCTGAATCAACTCATCAAAACATTAAAGCAGCACTACTAACTGTTTAAATATCTGTTCGCTTAAGCAAAATATAGCAGGTGAATACCGTTCTCTTTAAAATAGACAGGACACAGGACACAAAGCAATGCTCGTGCACCCACTGTCCTTGCTGCTTTCAAGAGCTCAAGAGTTTAGTAAGCAGCAGCAGTTGCCACTTTCACTTTAACCATTATTTGAACAGATTATTAATGGGCCTAATGTTAACCGATCATGCACGTGATCATTCTTTTATTATCGCATACGGTTTGACCTGGTTTCTTGCTCTTGCTGGTTTCTTGATCATCCTTTAATAGGAGATTAACTCTCCATTTATGTATAGTTAACTGGTGATCTGGGACCTTTAGCCAGGACAATACTGTGCATAGTTTTGGATAGATGGCAATACATTTTTGCTAAATTAAAAGTGCATGTATACAGCTATATTTTGCTTGTTTTGACACCTTATTTAAAATTCCTGGCAAGGAAATAACTAGTCTGGTAAATCTTTAATGTTGAGCCCAGAAAAGTCACATGAAATAAAACTAATTGCAATGCGATACTATAAAACCACAAACCATTTTCTTATGCTCATTAAGCAAGGTCATAACAAAAAAGTTAAATGAACAAGGAGGCATGTGGACATAACACAACATTTAAATCAAGTAATTAAATGCATATTAAATATATTTTCCCAACAAAATTGTGGCTTGTGAAAACGGCGAGGGGTTAGTAACGTCTGAAAACTACTAGCCACAGTGGCTGGTAATCAAAAAAAGATAATGTCAAGCCCTGATTTTACATATGCATAAATAATAATAAACAATCTACAAGCATAGATAAACACAATAAAGAAAAGTATACAAGTTATATATAGAGTTTTAAAGTTACAAAAGGGACAATTTCAACATTGCATTTGCATATTGCGAATGATTACAATGTGATATAGATGCTAAAATGATATATTGTGCAGCCCTACCGTAAACTCTTTCCCTCATTCTTACTGCAATCAGATCAGTTTTTCCGCAGTAACTCTACAAGCATACATTAGCGAATGACTTCAGCTTTTTAAAGACAACGTGAAACCATTTACTTTTGTGTAGTATAGCATAAAATAATGTTATTTTAATCTTTGAGAACATTGTTGTATCCTAAAGTACTCCTAATTGCTGCTGTTGGTTATTATTATTTTTCTTTGCATCAATGAATTATGCACAAATGGCCCACATACAGTTGAAGCCAGAATTATTAGCCCCCCTGTTTATTTTTTTTTACTTAAGTTCTGATTAACGAAGAGAAGATTTTTTTTTTAAGCACATTTCTAATAACTGATTTATTTTATCTTTGCCATGATGACAGTAAATAATATTTGACTAGATATTTTTCAAGACACTTCTATACAGCTTTAAGTAACATTTAATGGCTTAACTAGGTTAATGAGGTTAACTAGGCAGGTTAGGGTAATCAGGCAAGGTATTGTATAATGATGGTTTGTTCTGTAGACCATCAAAAAAATTAGCTTTAGGGGGCTAATAGTTTTGACCTTAAAATGGTTTTCAAAAAATTTAAAACTGCTCTTACTCTAGCCGAAATAAAAAAGACTTTTTCTAGAAGAAAAAATATAATTAGACACACTGTGAAAATGTCCTTGCTCTGTTAAACATCATTTGGGAAATTAAAAAAGAAAGAGAAAAATTCAAAGGGGGGCTAATAATTCTTATAAACTTCAACTGTATATATATATTTTTAGAATGTAAACATCTCAATTTACTTTCTAAATAAATGTGCCTGGTCTTATTGTGCATTAATCATTATTTCATGATTTAAAGAAATATAATAGTTTATTTAATGTTGCCTTAGCTTTTGATGGCAGTGCTATTTGTTCTGGACAGATGTAACACCACTTAAGGCAGCTCAATTATTAGAAACCATACGATTTATTGGGCCATGAATGCCGTAATGTCCATCCTAGACAAACAGAGCGAAGCTGTTTCCACTGGTGGATTCCTAGGTTTACAAGCAATGCTGTTTTTTTTTTTAGCTTCTGTTGCTTCTCCCTTATTTTAATCCCTGTTTTTTTTGTTTTTTTACAATTTAAATATTTATTTTGAGTTGGTTTTTCTATTATAATCAACATTAAATTCTATCTTAAAACACATGCATTTAATCCTCATTTATTTACATCATAGGTCTCAAACTCTATTCCTTGAGGGCCACAGCTCTGCACAGTTTTGCTCCAACCCTATTAAAACACAGCTGATCCAACTAATCAAGGTTTTCAAGAGGACTCGTGTTCTTTTGAAGACCGGTCCTGCCAGGTCACCTTGAAAAAACGAATTCGGGAGACCGCGAGAACACAGAACACGTCCTGTGTTCTTCATAATTGGTCACATGACCTTCATGCATTTTTAACTGAAAATTATTTAAACATTACAGCATTCATACAAGTATTATTATTATTTTTTTCTTTTCAATATATATAACATGCAAAACAACCTTACAAATATACTTTGCACAATATGAATAAAACAGATTTTGAGACAAATTTCAGCAAATAAACACCCTTAATGTGTTTATGCCTCTTAAGATTTTAATGGTAATCTTTACCTAAGGTGAAACTTCTGAGATAAATAAGTTATGTCTCTGAACTTTAATAATAAATCTATATAGGATGCTACGCCTCACACCTCCTTTTTTCAGCCGCAATGACTTCTGAGACTTGAGTTTGGCGCTCAAGTCTGCATCGACGCATCCTCGAAATTAAGAACACACCCAAGAACTTTCCCGCATCCCCGCATTGAGCTTTGGAACTGAACTTTGGCAGTTGATGATGACGTTACACGAGGACTCAAGATCGCTACAGAAGGCATATTGAGAAACAGCCCTTGATTAGTTGGATCAGGTGTGTTTGATTAGTGTTGGAGCAAAACTGAGCAGAGCTCTGGCCCTCCAGGAATCGAGTTGAGACATATGATTAACATGCACAACACATTTGAACTCTATATTTAACAAACTATTCAAAGTACTTTATTGATAGGTAATCTATGCCATTTTCATTTCGCTTTTATTTATTTATGCAAGGCAGGATCCATAAAGTCTTTCAAATTTAGCATTGTGAGCATCTCTTTGTGCTTATTTTGTCATGAAAACTTGCTTGCATGGTAACTCTTCTTGAATCGTGGATTTAGATTGTTATTATTGTTTTTAAATGTCTGGCAAAAATATTATAATTATTTTAGAACTCTCTCTTCTGTAACTTTTAGGTTATAATATGCTTGTAGAGAATATATTACTCCAAACATGTGAAGCTCTATTCAGTACAGAGCAAACTGAATGCTTATTTCATCTTGATATTCTGATTGTTTAAGAAAAAGATCAGAAATAAGTGAAAAAGATGATAAATAAATGAATAATCTGCTTGCTCTGTACTGGAGATTTTATTTTAGATGTGTAGCAGTAGTGTTTGACCTGTTATACTAATATGGGTCGTTTCTTTCAGAACCAGAGCTTGTGGTTGACGATGGGCATTTTGGAGTTCATGGTGAGTTTGACAACTGAAACGACTCGAACATCAGCTTTAATGTGTTCTCAATTCCAAAATATCTTTTCATATCATCCCGTTTTAACATGCAAGTAAAATGTGTTTGCAGATGGTGCTGAGTGTGTGGATTCTGGCTGGTTGACGTGCCAGACAGAAATTCGTCTCAGGCTTCATTACTCAGTGAAACCTCCAGTATCTATAACTAAGAAGAAATTCAAGACCTCACGCTTCAGGTAACGTCCTTGACACACTTAAGCTTCATTTATTCATACATTTTCCTTCGGCTTAGTCTCTATTTCAGAAGTCGCCACAGCAAAATGATCCGCCAACTATTCTGGCATTTGATTTAAGCAGCAGATGCCCTGCAGTACAGTACTGGGAAACACCCATACACACTTATTCACACACGTACACTTCGGACAATTTAGTTTATTTAATTCACCTATAGCACACGTGTTTGGACTGTGGGGAAAACTGGAGCACCCCGAGGAAACTCACCACAACACAAGGAGAACATTCAATCTCCACACAGAAATGCCAACTGGCCTACTAGCTGGGACTCGAACCAGCGACCTTCTTGCTGTGAGATGACAGGGCTAATCACTGAGCCATCATGACACCACGCTTAAGATTATTTTTTCCCTTCTTTTTTTTTTTACACTAGAAGTCTTTTAGGGTGCTTTCACACCAAGACCTTTGTTTCGGAACCTGTCTCGTTTGCCCAGTTAGCGCAGTTCGTTTGGCATATGTGAATCCACCGATCGCTCTTGGATCCGCGCCAAAACAATCGCTCCGAGATCGCTTGAATAAGGTGGTCTCGGCTCGATTGAAACGAACTCTGGAGCGAATCGATTGCAGTGTGAAAGCGAACCACACCAAGAGCAAAGAGCAACAATGTAACAGTTTTAATCCCTGTTTCGGAACAACTGAATCGATTCTTTTAGAAACTAATAGTCAATATAACAATACACTGTTTTTGTTTTTTAAAATCCCAATTTAGACACCGCAGGATATGCAGTGTTGAGTTGGAATTGTTGATAATAATCAATGCAGTTCAGATATAGGAGTAAACGTTTATCATCTGCGTGCATTTTTAAAGGGATAGTTCACCCAAATATTAAACTACACTCAAAATTTTCGTTTGGTCACCCTTCACTTGTTTTAAAGGTTTATGAGTTTCTCTTTTTATGTTGAGCAAAAAAAGAAGATATTTTAAGAACTCATAAACAATTGAAGCAAGTGAACGGTGAGTAAATAGTGAGTAAATTTTCATTTTTGGGCACACTATCCCTTTAAGGCCTGTGACTGTCTGAACATTTCAATACTTCTCACTTTAAAACATCCAGCCACAAGAAATTATAATGTTTGTTACTTTAATAGAGATTACATTATATACGATGAAGGCTATACAGTGTTGATTAATACTGTTAGACTATCCAGAAAAATACAATTCACTTTTATCTTTGCTATATTGTATTTATCTTTTAGTTATACTGTATATTATGTGAGATTCATTCCCCTACGAAATCACACCAATCCATCTAAAATGAAGAATTATTTCCAAATAAAGCTGTTTAGTCATCTGGTGAAACACATCGCAATGTATATCGCAGAAAAGCAAAATATTGCAATTTCAGATTTCCCAATATCATGCAGCTCTATTTACAATTATTCTAACATGCAGTTCGCCCAATTATTGGCTTTTTTAGATTAAAGCTGATGCTGGAAGGTGTTGAGGAGGAGGAGGAAGAAGAGGAAAGCCCTTCATCTTGGCACAAGATGACCACCACACTGGAGATGAGTATGATCAGCGATGACGGATATAAGTCTCGTCATTCACAGCCAGAATGTGGATATGCTCTGGAACCCTCCCGATGGACAGAATACACCATTCACACAATGGACCCCGATAACCTAGTGCTCACCTTTGAGTTCTTCGAGGTGCGTAAATGATTGTTTTTGGTGTAAAGTAGGTGCTATTATGCCCCTTTTACAAGATATAATGTAAGTCTCTTGAGTAATGCTTTCATAGAGAACATTACAGTAATCTACACAAGATTATACAAAAATATGTTTAATTCTTTCAGAGTCTTTGTAAGACAGAAAATATTTGATCATGGAGACTTGCCTCAGCTTAAAAAAAACATATATAAGTACCAGATGAATCTGTTTATCCAGCTTAAAATTGTTTTTCAACCAAATTTGATAATTTCTCAATGGCCCCTTTTTAAAATGAAAGCAAAAATACAGTTTTTGTGTGTCTTTTTAATGCTAATGAGCTTCTCAGGAGGATTTTAATAGGTCTATTATAGACTTTAATACTATACACTTGTAATTCCAGAAATACAGTAGCATTTCAGCATTTCTTGTGTTGTTTTCCTGTGAAAGTATACACAGATTTACACATCTTAGTTTTTCAATACTTTTTTGGCTCGTTTCCACTAAGTGGTATGGTATGGTTTGATATGCTTCAAAGGCCATTTCCAGTGTAAAAAGGTACCTAAAAGCAAACAGTACCCTACCACTTTTTGGGTACCCTTTCGAAAGGGTACCTAGCACAACAAAGGGGTACCAAACAGAGAAACGTTGCTAGTGCGTACACAAGCAGGAGAATGTAAACAAAGGAAGCAGAATTCTTAAATACACAGCAGAGACATTATGGGCTCTATTTTGAAGATTCATGCACAAAATGCAAAGCGCAGGGCGTAAACGCATTAAGGGCATGTCTGAATCCACTTTTGCTGTTTTAAGGATGGAGAAATCCGCTTCGCGCCGTGGCGCATGGTCTTACAGGGTTGAGCTTATTCTCTTAATGAGTTATCGGTGTGTTTTGAGAATAAACCAATCAGAGTCTTATCTCCCACTCCCATTGACTGAAACTTTCTGTCTTACATCACGCCCACCATTGGTACTTTTTTGCAGTGGAAACGCAAACCTGATAAAGGTGACCATACCGTACTGTACCACTCAGTGTAAACGGGCCGTTTTTGAGCATAGGATGTATTGGTCTCTGTAATTTATCTAAAGAGAACACTGAGAGAAACAAAGAAGGACAAATGTGATGCATGAATGACTATAAATGAGAAATTATAAAATCTCTTCAACAATAGCATCAGAAAGATCATGCTAAAATTTCTAATTGTTGCCATCAATACAACAAATAGCCATGTTCAAAAAGGCTTTGACTGAATGTGAGCTGTGATAATGTCACATTTTCCTGGACTCTGCTCTTTTCCCCATTTGCAGAAAAGGGCGGGGCTTTTACAGCTTGTGCCTCTGATACTCCTAGCTACAACAAAAATAATTTTCATGCAGTTTAAAGCACAAGTTATCATCAGCAATGTTGAAATAAGTTTAGAAACAGTGTTTATTGATATAGACATGATTTTAATATGAGGATACCACAAAACATTTAAAAACTTTTTCTTTAATTGATTGGCATTCGATTTTCATGTACAGTGGAGGAAGTAAGTATAGGGTATATGCCGAAGCATGCTAATAGGACTTTTAATTTGCCTGTAACCTGAGTTAAGCGCTTCCAGGGAACTGTAGGCCAATACAATAATCAGTGCGTTTAAGGGCTGTTTTCTTTAAAAATCTGAGATCTCCACTAGCTGAGTAATATCCGATAGAAAGTGGGTCTCAGATTGTACAAAAAGCACTGCATTAAATTACATTTCCCCCGCCATGTCTTTATAATATGATTATTTATTTTACCCCAGTACATTTAATGGCGCTTCTGCGCTAGCCTGCCGATTCTGACGGGTGCGTGCGAGTAAATGACTTTTTGTCTCATTTTACGCTTAAGGAACTAAATGAATGCCAAAGTCTATTTAACTGAATGTATTTTAATGACATTACAACATCGATGCTGTAAAAGGAACCATATAAAAAAAAGTTCACAATAACAGGCCACCGGAAGTTTAGCAGTATGGGAAAAACACTAGCTCGACATATACCCTATTGAACAAGTAATTTTGTTTTTTCCAGGTAATAATAGTTCTTAAGCAGCTGTTAACATGAATCGGAGACAATACAATACAAACATAAATAAAAAACTTTTTGAAAAATGTTATGTGTAATAATAAAGAAATTACACAAGGGGAAAGTACTGAACTACTGAAATGGATTTAATACTTTATTTAAAAGGCTTATTTGGGGCTGGCAGCTTAAAGACGCCTCTCATATGGACAATGAAGTCACATGCAATGTTCAGATGTGATTTTAGTTACACATAATTTGTTTAGTTTTCTTTCCATATATGGATTTCTTTGGTTGTTACCAACATCCTGTGAAGTCAACAGTATTTTTTAGAAATAATTGTTTTTGTTATAAAAGTGGTGACGTGTTTAATACTTATTTCCCCCACTGTATTTTCTTGATGACTCGATAGGATTATGATTGAATTTATTTGTGCTTTAGGAGGACCTGAGTGAGACCGTGGTTCAGGGTGATGCCCATCCAGGCCACGTGGGCACAGCTTGTCTTTTATCATCCTCTTTTGTGGAAAGTGGGAAAGATTTAGGTGTGGTCACGCTGCCCATTATGAGCCGAAACTCCAGGCAGACTCTTGGGAAAGTCAGAGGTATGTTCAACACCACAATGCACTGGCGTCGAGTCTCAAGTTTGTTTTTTACCCCATTAAATGAATACAGTTGAAGTCAGACTTAGTGTTTATTTTTTCCCCAAATTTCTGTTTACGGAGAGAAGATTTTTTTCAACACATTTCTAAACATAATAATTTTAATAACTCATCTCTGATAACTGATTTCTTTTATCTTTGCTGTAATGACAGTACAGAAAATTTGACTAGATATTTTTCCAGGTCCTGCTGTGTAACAAAGACAGTGAAAAGATGCAGAGTAAAAGACATTCTCCCAGATCAACAGTTACCTTCCCTTATTATAACCTGAGCAAATCATTGTCAAACATGAATGAAAACCAACCCCCAAAACCAGCTGAACATGAGAACATAGTTGAGGAGATAAAATGGGGGAGAAGAACATTAACATACTCTCCTCAGGCTATGACTCAACAATAGTAAATATATTGTACATTGAAATACAATCAATCAATGTCTCTGTTGATTTCATCACTACAAAGCTGAAGTCATAAACTGTTAAATGACACCAAACATGACACAGTTATATGAAGGAAGATCACGAGCAGATGAATTGTGTATGGGGAAAAGCACATGGTTACTGTTAGCAAATGGCAGAGATGTGTATTGGAGCTGTGAGGAACTCTACCATGCCAGAAGGACCTATCCCATGTTTGGAATGTCTCTATATTCCTTCTATGCTAATGAAGGACTACTTAGTAGAAGAATATATATTTTCTCATCTTACAATGGCGTTAAAAATTTAAAAACTGCTTTTATACTAATCGAAATAAACCACATAAGACTTTCACCAGAAGAAATAATATTACAGGAAACACTGTAAAAAAATCCATGCTCCGTTATTATCATTTGGGAAATATTTTAAAAAGCATACGCATACGTATAAGGAAACTGTATACGTTCCTGCTGTCCACACAGGTGCGCATTCTTCTGCTGTGTTTACACAACATTTGCCTCTGCAAACATGACACAGACTGGCTGTTTAAATAAAGGGAAATGTTATTATTCGTGTTAGGAACATTAGCCTTGCTTACACTAATGCTTAGTAGCTGGAAAATGGGATTATAATGCCACTGGTTTTATTGATGTGCTGATTTAATTTCAGATAATTTGACTGAAATGAAATTATGCTTTTGTTTCTGATGGGATTTTAGTGGATTACTTGGTGACGCGTCCCATTCAAGGCCTTCAGTGTGACATGAGTCGGTCTTTCACTAAGTACTGGAGGAAGAGGAGCGCTTTGGATGTTGGACATCGCGGAGCAGGAAGCACACACGCTGCCAAGTAAGTTACAGAATTGTGTTAGTTGACAAACTGTGTCATATATTATATAACTGTGTCATACAAACACTGTGCTACTTGAGGAGTCCTGAGCCTGTTCTCTTGGATTCAGCATTTGTCTTTGTGTGAAACATCTGCTGGAATAGTTGGTGGTGTAATCCGCTGTGGTCGCCACATCAATAAATGGACTAAGCCAACGGAAATGAATTAATGTATGTAGACTAGATCTGAAGCATATTAAACCATATAAAAGTGACATTAAAACTTTAGTTATTAAGCCCTGGTCAGATCACACGAATTTGTCAGGATTTCGGCACAATTTCCTTGACAAAGGGTGTTATGGGGATTCGTAAATGGCAAATAGGTGTCGTGACACAAGATTCAATCGTTTCCTTTTGTGTAATGTGGCATAGTTCACAACAACCATTACCATGCCTGCGACGCCTCACGACACCATCGCAGAAAGCGATTCTTTCCATCGGGAAGCCTTTTTGTCATTTGAAACGGAATTGGAAAATGATACCGCTAATGACATCTGGTGTTTTGCAATTTTTGTTGAATCTTTAGCACTTGGACTTAGCTTGTTTTCATCTCTTAACTTTGAGCATTCTTACCTTTTAGCTTGGTGCCTTTGTCACAAATGTTGAAATAAATTAGTGGTGCAGCCACTGTCGGTTGCAACTGACTTTCTGCATATTTTACATTTGACAAAAGTTTGTTCGACATCTGACATCTCAAGTCCGAACCATTTCCAGATCACAGAGGAAACGCTACTACCTTTCTTTGGCACAAGATCATCCTCACGCGAAGAGCCGTCCATCTCATTTTTTTTTTTTCCGGCTTAGTCCCTTTTTTAATCCGGGGTTGCCACAGCGGAATGAACCGCCAACTTATTCAGCACATGTTTTACGCAGAGGATGCCCTTCCAGCTGCAACCCATCAAATACTCATACACTAACATTCACACACATACACTACGGACAATTTTAGCTTACCCAATTCACCTGAACTGCATGTTATTGGACTGTGGGGGAAACCGGAGCACCCAGAGGAAACCCACGCCAACACGGGTAGAACATGCAAACTCCACACAGAAACGCCAACTGACCCAGCCAAGGCTCAAACAAGTGACTTTCTTGCTGTGAGGCAACAGCACTACCTACTGCGCCACCACGTCGCCGAGCCCTCCATCTCTAGAGCATCGTACTCTCACAAGTGAGTGGTTAATTTGGCGCCCCATCATGTGGTCGAACAATAATGCCTCTTAATTATTTTGCCATTGGTGCAATTATAATGCATCTAAAATTTTTATACAAAAATTGTGATACCCCGATTTAATAAAAAATTTAATTGTTTAGAAAAGTAAATTCGAATTAATAAAAAAAAATCGAACGAATCGCCTAGCCCCATCGGTAGCAATCGGTGCTTTTTAATAGTATTATACTATTGGTTGGGTTTAGGAAAGGGGGAGGGTGTTGGTCAGTCAGTCAGTAAGTCAGTCAACAGCGTCCTCTGGTAGATTTATGTGAAAACAGCAAGTGCTAATCGCAAATTTAAGATCTCAAAAAGCACACACAGCGGCCTCTGGTGGATTCACGAAAACAAAAACCGCAACCAATTCGTAGCTCCTGGGATGTATTTTGTTCTCTTCAGAAATGTATATGGGGTACCTAATCAGAATGAGTTGGTTGCCACATAAATGAAAAAAGTGACTTTTGCATAATAGATCGCCTCTAATAAACATAATTGTCCTTAGCAATATGAAACCGCACAGCATCTGTAATTTCTTTCCATTCGACATCTAACCTCTCAAACTCGAACCATTTCCAAACCACAGTGGAAACGTTACTACCTTTCTTTGGCACAAGGTCATCCACAAGCGAAGAGCCGTCTTTCTCATTTTATTTTATTTTCGGCTTAGTCCCTTTATTAATCTGGGGTTGCCATAGCAGAATGAACCGCCAACTTATCCAGGATATGTTTTATGCAGCGAATGCCCTTCCAGATGCAACCCATTACTGGGAAACACTCATACACTCTCATTCACACACATACACTATCGACAATTTTAGCTTACCCAATTCACCTGAACCGCATATCTTTGGACTGTGGGGGAAACTGGAACAACCAGAGGAAACCCACGCCAACACGGGGAGAACATGCAAACTCCACACAGAAATGCCAACTGACCCAGCCTTGGCTCGAACCAGCGACCTTCTTGCTGCAAATTTGAGATCTCAAAAAACGTGCACAGCGGCCTCTGGCAGATTCACAAAAAACAAAACTGCAACCAATTCGTTGCTCCTGGGACGTATTATGTTCTCTTCAGAAATGTATATAGGGGTACGTAATCAGAATGAGCCTGAGTTTGTTTCCACAAAAATTGACTTCTGCATAATAGATTACCTTTAATAAACAAAGCATGAGAGAGGAGTACATGTACAATGCATGTGTCTACTTTGTCTAAAATCGTTTGTGTTCTATTTCAGGCATCATAAGATCAGGGAAAACACAATTGCCTCATTTCTAAGTGCTGCCAACCATGTAAGTGTAAATGAAGAACGCAGCTCCAGCAAAATGCATGAAGCTTAATTACAGTAAAACCGATGTCTGTCTTTTCATCACAGGGAGCCGCTTACGTAGAGTTTGATGTTCATCTGTCTAAAGATTTAGTTCCAGTCGTTTACCACGATCTCACTTGCTGTATTTCTACTAAAAAGGTAACACATTGTTTGCTGGAGTCAATGTTAATCATGGGAAAGACTCGAATTGTGTCCTTCAGTCCAGATTTAGTTTTGACTGAAGACTTTAACATTTTGATTTCAGATTTTATAAACACTGATTATAAACTGTAAAACAAAAGAGAGAAGGATAATATCTGCCTTACTTCCAGAGCTTAATTTTGTGCTTCGCTACAATCAGAGAGCGAATTATACATTGATGATTAGGGGTCAGGATGAATAAATAATAATAATAATTATGATTATTAAAAGAGACAACATTGGGGGTTTACATTATTTCAGACTCAATGCAGTCAACAGTTGTTAACATTGCAGTAATCAATCTATTTCTTCCAACGTTTTAGAGATAAATCCTTTTAAGTCTCCAAAGAAAAGTCCATTCCTCCATATTGCTTATTTCCTTCACAAGGTCTTTGCAATATCATCGAGTTTTGTAGTTTGTTAACCAATTACTGTCATGCTAAAATTCATGAACGTTCCTCTGCGGAGCATTTGTTCTTATTTCATACACCAATTCTTATTATTGTTAAATAATTGCAGCAAAAGGTAATCATATTTTGCTTTTCATATGAAAATGTATGAAAATTTGTTATTACTGCACAATTGTACATAATTGAAATGAAAAAGCTTATTTATTGTCTGTCTTCGACCTTTCCCTTTAAAACAATAAACACTGTACATCGCTGTAATTTAATTACAAAATAAAAGTAACAGTAATTCGTTACAGTTAATTAAATTAAATTACAGTTACTTATGATTATGTTAGATTACAAATGGGGTTACATATAAAATATTATTTAAAAATCTGGGATATGTTGAATAATATTAATCTATTGTTTGACTGTTTTTTTTATGTGCACGATGCCTTCTGCTAAGGCCATTCATTAAAGCGGTGCTATTCTGCTGTAACTACATTTCTCAGTAGCGTGTCGGTAGCGTCGCTACTTTCTAAATCAAAAAACTTTTCAGTAGCGAAGCTATATTATTAGTTAAGTAGCGCAGTACCGTCCAAACAAGCTACATTTACAGATTGCGGATCAATAAATGACGGCACCGACATTCTCGGAGCTGTGAGGACGGTGTCTAGCCAATGAAAATAAAGCCATATGACAGCGAGAATGTCAATTTCTTCTTCTACCTGTTTTTCGGTGGTCTACAAACTTTTTGGTGTGTAACTGCCACGTCTCGCTCTGGTCGGTGATGTCACCAACCAAGGCTAACACGAGAAATTTGCTTGATGGAAAGATGACTGAGGGAGAGGAGGTCTATATATATATATAGTCTACTTTAGTAAATGCAAAGGATACTGTGTTGATAACTATTAGTTCACGATAGTTACTAATAATACTACATTATGTAGTGTAATTTATTAATGAAGAGTTGTAAATATATGAAGTTTAGATGCAAAAACTTCTAAAATCCATTTGATATTTTCTCCTAAAATTAGCATTTTCTTTAGACTCCTGTATGTATGATGAGCAATTTTACTTTTATAGTGATGAATAAGTTCTTTTCATTGCCTTCCGAGTAAAATAACTGAACATAAACATAGGAGGCTAAGAAAAATACTCATTTTAGGAGAACATTACAGATGGCATTTAGAGGTTTTTGCATCTGAACTCTTCATATATACATACAACATAATGCTTATTCATAAATATTTCTCGATACTATCAATTACTATAAAATTTTAAATGTGTAACACCTGGTTTTATTAGATTTTTTAGTTTTGCTGTTATATACTATAATGTGTTTCTGTTTAGTACAGCAAATTATTTTGCAATAAATAATTTAAGTGAATAATTAAGCCTCTTATATTTTATTAAGTTTTATTGATCACAAGGTATAATTGACTTGGATTTGAGTTGCTTCGATTTCCCCCGCAAATGCCACAAAAATCCCCCTGCACAACTAACTAAAATTTAGATTTTGTAACAACTGTAAACAATGTTGTTGTTATAATGTCTGGTTTTGTGGTGGCTGTACTTTAAAATGAAATTAATATAATCTTAATTGAAGTGAAGTCACACCTGCTTGGTATAAATGCTTGAAAATGTTTTAGTTTAAAACGTCTATTAGAAATTTAAAAGTAATCAAAAGCCCCTTTCACACATACAGACGGAAAGGTTGTATGTGTGAACAGGTCCTTTTTGAAAATACCGGTAAATTCGTTCTGGCTATTTTCCGGACAGAGAAGTTGTAACATTACCGGCAATTTGCCGGAATGCTGCGCTGTGTGAATGCAGAAGGAAGATTCCCGTAATAAGCGGGTGCACGTCTAGAACGTGCTGACGTGAGACGTCTGCTTTAGCCAATCACAACAGTCAGACGCATTTACGTCCGTGCAGTTTGTGAGAATAAAAGTCTTTGAATATTTTTCCAGACACATTTAGCTGCTAGAAGTTAGTCAGATCACGTTTATATGTTCTTCTTAATGCCAACTGTGTAAATAATCATCGATGAGATGCTTATGATAAGCCGTTGTTTGTTTACCTTCAGGCTTTGCGTGTGCCTGTGAAACAGCCTGTAAGCGCCTGCACACACACATATTATGAACATCTTGACATGCGAAAGTGATCCTGCGAAAGTTATTCACAATATTGATCATCCACAGAGTTTGTAATTTAGTCAAATGTTTACAAATACAAGCGCAGCCGTTTAAAGCTCATTTGTGGTGAATGATGTCAGAATTTACCGGTATTTTGGAATGGATGTGTGAATGCTCTTTTCCGGAAAATTTCCGTAACGTCCTCGCCTGTGTGAACAGCGCTTTTTTAAATTTACCGGTAAAGTCGTTCCGGAAATTTTCCAGATATTTACCGGTATCACTGTGTGAAAGGGGCTAAAAAGTAATCAGATGTAATCGGCTACTTTACTTTTATAAAGTAATCGAAAAGGTACATTACTCATTACATTTTAAATAGGGTAATTTGTAATCCATTACATTCCCAAAGTAACCTCCCAAACACTGGCTGTAAATATAGAGCTTAAACACTGGTTTATTTATTTATTTATTTATTTATTTATTTATTTTTGTACGTTCATTTTAGTTAAATTTTATTTCTTTAGTTTTATTTTCCAAAATGAATCCTCGTTGCACTTAACAAACTTCATTAGAATTGTAAACTTAACACATTTTTTATGATTTTTGAAGGAATTATAATGCTTTGTTTCTTCATTTACAAGTAGCAGTGTATTTAAAGCTACTGTATATTTCTGTTCGTTCGCATCCTGTCCCTTTGTGTTCCGCGGTGGAGTCACACACGGCGTTAGTGGTCATTTTGAACTGTGACTCACTGTACCTCAATGAACCCACTGACCTGAAAAATGTACTTACCCCGGGGGGAAAACAACTCTTAAACTGGGTGTGTAACAGGTTTGACCGTGGAAAAAGTTTCAGTCAGATTTCTTTTGTTGCTTTAACACCTGTTTCTGGTCTTGTTCGCTTTCCTAGAAAAATGACAAGACTTCAATGTTGTTGTTCGAAGTTCCTGTCAAAGATCTTACATTTGATCAACTTCAGCTCTTAAAAGTAAGCCTGATTTCAAATTCCTTGACTTGGTTTGATCATTGAAATGATAACACTGATTGTGTTTGTCCTTCTCAGCTGGCCCATACCACTGCTTTGGACACTCATGACCACAAAGGTAAATTTTCCCCGTAATTTATGTCTCAAAAGTACTATATGAAATCAGATGCATGTGTTTTTTTAAAGTGGTTAAACATATTAGTTACCTTGTGTAAAGTTCAAGTGCAACACTTTGTGTTTAGTGTAGTCAAAGAGTGAACAACAGTCAAGCTCTTTTGTGATAATCTTTTATATCAAGTGTTATTAAATCATTTTTGGCCTTTTTGAATATGATGTGATTACATATAAAAGAGAATATAGGTGTTTTGGATAAGAAATAACCTTTGCTATACTTTATAAGAAAGATCTTTCTCTTAAGGAAGTTCAGTTTACTGTAAAACAGGATTGTGATTTATCTAAGCTGGTTGGTTTGGTTTAATGCCTAGAACACAAGCCTCTGCAAAACTGGATTGAGTTAAATAAACAGTACGTTGTTAATAATATTTTACTTTGTCTAGACTTGCAGGATGAAGAGGAATATATAGATGAGCACCAGCCTTTCCCTTCACTTCCTCAGGTTTGATTGCTTTACATTTTACATTTAGTCATTTAGCAGACACTTGTCCAATTGTCCATTTATCAATTCAACAAGAAGAGGCAATACACACAAAAGTGCTAATTATACGAAGGAACTGTTAGTGCTTAGAGATTTAAGTACTAGTTTTTTTATAGAGAGAACATTTTCTTCAGGTGGTTTGTCAAGCCCACTCACCTGTAAAGCACACTTTATAAATGCACAGTGTTTATTTTTAGATATATAAAAATATGGAGTGATTTGTTAAAAAAAAATAAAAAAAGTATCTGGTGCAAATGTGTAAACCAGCGAAAGTGTCAGAGAGATAAACGAGCATTTTCTGAAGTTAGTTTATCAAGCCCACTCACCTGTGTGAGGCACACTCAGAATTGAAAGAGAACTTTATCTTCTCTTTTAATGTGAATCTTAAACGTTAATTTATTCTAGGATTTAATCAATTATTTGTATATGAATATTCAGATGAAATAATATTCCAATGTCATTTATTGTGGGATATATATTTATGTAACAATGAAACAACTTATTTATTCTGACCTGTTCTTATTAATATATGTTAAAGAAATAAGTGATCATGCTAAATTTCATTATCGCACACTGTTTTTCACCTGCTTTCTTTTGCTTATAGTTATTTTGTTAATATGTTTTAATTATCATCCATTACAACAGCATTGCTTTAATAGGAGATTAACTCTCCATTCATAGTTACCTGGTAATCTGGGACCTTTAGCCTGGACAAACTACTGTGCATTTTAGGTAAATGACAATAAGTTTTTAAATGTCGATTGTTTTTAAGAACATTTTTTTAATGAAAATCGTATTTATACAGCTATATTTTGCTTGTTTTAAAAATTTGTTTAAATTTTGTGCCAAAGAAATAATTAGTTTGGTGTGGCCAGAGAGAAAAATTGGGTGGGTGGGTGGGTGTCACACACACAGTTGAAGTCAGAATTATTAGCCCCCTTGTTTATTTTTTTCCCCAATTTATGTTTGTTTATTTATAACACATTTCTAAACATAATAGTTTTAATAACTGATTTATTTTATCTTTGCCATGATGACAGTAAATAATATTTTATTAAAGTTTTTTCAAGACATTTCTTTACTGACCTTTTTCTTGGCTGCTTCATGGAGGCCTCATAGCGACCAGCGTCTTCCGGTAGATTTCCGGTATAATTAGAACTTCCGTTTTCAATAGCGTTTTTAGTGGATTATGGAGTGTTTTTATGACACACAACTTTGAAAGGTGTGTGTTAAAGCCATTATAATCTGTCAGATGTGGTTCAAGTGCGAGAGAAAAACGTTCTCCTAGCTCATGTGTCCGCTGTCAGAAATACGTTGTGTGTGTGTGTGTGTGTGTGTGTTCCCGACCTCTCAGCTCATCAATATACACACAAACACACACACACACACACACACACACACACACACACACACACACTCACACACACGCGCATTATAGAGCAAACCAGATTACTGGCATGAAACTTAACAGGCATGCAAGTCATGCAATTTATAAAAATGACAAATAAAACTCCATTAGTGATACTTAAAATAGGTTAAAAATGTGACTGTTTATATGAATCAGCTGCCAACCGGAAGTTCTTAGCATTCTCCTTGCGCATACACTCAAACAATGTTGGGTAATTTTGTGTTCTAAGAAAAAGGTCTATACAGCTTAAAGTGACATTTAAAGGCTTAACTAGGAAAAAATTAAAAACTGTTTTTATTCTAGCCAAAATAAAAAAGACTTTCTCCAGAGGAAAAATATTATCAGACATACTGTGGGGAAAGAAAAAAAAAAATATATATATATATATATATATATATATATATATATATATATATATATATATATATATATATGTTTATAGATATATATATATATTTAACAGAGCAAGGAATTTTTCACAATATGTGATAAAAAATTTTCGTCTGTATAATATATATATATATATATATATATATATGTACTTTTTAAAATATTTTTATTTTATGATTATTGTATTATATGAGTACAAGCTTATATTTCAAGCTACATATGGTTCTCTTTATTTAATCTTAAATAATCAAATAATCTTAATGTTTTATACTCAGATTTCACATAAATATATGTTTAAAATATATATTTAAAGAATAACTTTTGTTTAAAATATAAATTTAAAGAACAAAGAGGCAACTGTTTACATCCAGGGTGTGTGTCCTTTGTAATAATTGTTTTAATATAATTAAAAAAAAAAGATTTTAGTAATAAATTCTAAATATCTCTGTTTCAGATATTCCAGTCTGTTCCAGAAAATGTGGGATTTAACATTGAACTAAAGTGGATCTCTCAGTTCAAGGTTTGTTTTGCCTCGAGCGATACGTGAGTTGGTTTGATCTCAGTATTAGCAGTGGGAAAACAAAACATGCTTATTGTCTGCGTTCCTATAAACAGGATGGCTCCTGGGATGCAAACCTCTCCACCTACTTCAACATGAATCAGTTCTTGGACATCATCCTCACTTGTGTGCTGCAGAACGCTGGAAACAGGAGGATCATCTTCTCATGCTTTGATCCTGATGTTTGCACAATGTAAGACATAAAGTTCTCATGCATATTCTAATAATGCACTGATGCTTAGCATTAAAAGGGGACCTATTATGCACAAATCACTTTTATAATGTATTTAAACAGTTATATGGCAAACGTGTGTAAATATAATCAGCCTTTATTGGTAAAAATTTATTAATTCTTTTTTTTAATAATCACACTTGATAAAAACAGTCTGCAGAAACACTTTGATTGACGTTCTTTCTTTGTACATTTCATAAGAGGGGAAGCCCCACCCATTAGTGACTACCTGTTCCTCATTAGCATAGGATGGCAGTCTTGTTTTTAATCTGCCACTATGTTGACACACAGGCATTTGTAGCTCCACCCTCTTTTCAAAAGAGCACAATCTCATTTGAATTTAAAGCGACAGTCATCAAAATTACACAATTAGGATCAAAGCCTAAAAGGGGCAGCATCATTCATTCATTCATTAATTTTCTTGTCGGCTTAGTCCCTTTATTAATCCGGGGTCTCCACAGCGGAATGAACCGCCAACCCATCCAGCAAGTTTTTACGCAGCGGATGCCCTTACAGCCGCAACCCATCCCTGGGAAACATCCACACACACATCCACCCACGCGAAGGCAGGGAGAACATGCAAACTCCACACAGAAACACCAACTGAGCCGAGGTTCGAACCAGTGGCCTTCTTGCTGTGAGGCGACAGCACTACCTACTGCACCACTGCCTCGCCTATTTTTGTTATATTATATTATTATATTATATTATTTAATTTTATTTATATTATTTTTTATTATTATTATATTATTTTATTTATATTATTTCTATTATATTATATTATAGTATTATTTTATATTATTGATATTATTTTTGTTATATTATATTATTATATTATATAATTGTATTTATATTATTTTTATTATATTATATTATAATGTTTTATTTATATTATTTTTATTATTACAGTTAATAGTAAATTTAATAAATAATATAACCTTATATCTGATTATATCTGATCTAGTAACAACCCTGCACCAGGGCAGGCCTTGTACTTGTACATGTGTAATGACAATAAGATTGAATCTAATCTAATCTAATTATTTATGTGGTGTATGTTGCTCTCTTTCTCGTTAACATGCTTAAACAATTGTGCTACATGACATCATAAAAGCTTTTCTAGCCCTCTTGTGTTGGACTTAAGGTTTGGGACTCTGCTAAAGTCTGTTCTGAAATGAAAGCCTCAGTCTGACGTCATTCACTATGGTTTTTAATGATGCGCGATTAACAGGTGAAAATCCGAGCTACCTGCTTACACTGCAGACGCTAGGGCACAGATCCGATTCATATTGGATAAATTTCCACATACGAGCAAGGCCTGAACCTGACTTGAGTAAATCGGAATCTATGTGATTTTTCCTGCTTGCATGTACACAGAATTGAGTCACTTAACCCATGCGGTGTAAATGCAGCCTTTGATTGCATGTTGCAAAAAATGTGTGTTTTCTACAGGGTGAGGCAGAAACAGAACAAATATCCGATCCTGTTTCTGACCCAAGGAGTGACACAGCTCTATCCTGAGCTCATGGACATCCGCTGTCAGAGCACTAAGATCGCCATGAGCTTTGCTCAGAGTGAGAACATACTGGTAAGAGTCGCATGCGGACAGATGGTGTAAAACCCCAGATGTTTGTTGATACAGCTGAGAACACTGTTGTGAAACAGCATTGAGAGAATTCACTGTAATCACAAACTTTGCAAATCTATGAAGTGAATGGCATCTAATAATGAGCTTTTTTTTTGAATGCAGCTTCAGCATTGAGACTAAAATTAAACTGCTGATTAAACACTGTTGTGAACTAGCATAGAGATGCCAAGTTTGCTACTTTAAAAATACTCTAATCACACAATTTGATGCACTTTTATTTTTATTCATATTGGTTTTAAATTCTATTGAGAGTAAATAACTCATGTGTGCGTTTACAGGGGATCAGCGCTCACACAGATGAACTGCTGAAGAACATGGAGTTCATCGGGGAGGCTCAGTCCAAAGGCCTTGTGGTTTTCTGCTGGGGTGATTATAACAATGACCACGAGAACAGGAGGAAGCTGAGGGAACATGGCATTGACGGCCTCATATATGACAGGTGGGTTTTATTATTATTTTTGTCTACAAGGGTAGCTTCAGTTTTCGAAAGCAGATTTGATTTTAGTCATATTACATTAATTTATTCATGTCAAGACAGACGTAAACCAGCCAAAGTACCAGAATAGAAACAAGTTCGGAAAAAATATTGTTCATTCTCAAAAAAAAAAATTAAAATGAAAGTCAACTCTGCATACAAAAATGAAATGAATTTCATAGGCCAAAAAATTCTGTTAGACACAAAAGAAGACGATTTTAAGAATGTTGGAAACCGGTAACCATTGACTTCCATAGATTTTTTTTTTCTTACGAGGAAGTCAATGACAACCAGTTCCAAGCTTTCTTCAAAACATCTTTTGTGTCCAACTGAATTTTTTGGTCTATGAAATTCTTTTTATTTTTGTGTGCAGAGTAGACTTTTATTTCATTTTTTTCGAGAAAGAAGAATGATAAAGATAATTTGAAGAATGTTTGAAACCTGTAACCATTGGCTTTCATTGTAAGAAAAAAGTACTATGGAAGTCAATAATTACCAGCTCCAAACATTCTTCAAATTATCTTCATCATTCTTCGTTCTCGAATTAAATAAAAAAAAATCAACTCTGCATACAAAAATAAAAACTATAGATTTAAACAATAATAATTATAAATGTTTGTTCAATCATACAAGTACAATGACTTTATTCAAAAGTACTTTTTGACTGCTTACATTTTTAATTTAACCATTCAAATTATGTGCAGAAAAATAAAAGAGGAAAAATAAGAAAAAAAGAGAAGAGAAGGAATTGGAAAAACATATTTTTGGAAAAATGTATTTAAAAGTTCCTAAAAATGCATTTATTGTTAAATATTTAATACATTGTTGAATAGTTTTTTTTAATGATTTCAATTAATTAGAGATGCTTTTTTGATTGAAACTTTTTTTATTTACTAATAAAATCAGTCTAGCGGCTGAAAAATAAAAAAATAAATATTTGAGCAAAATTCTTAGAAATTAATTGAGCCTTATTAATAAATAAAATGGTACAGCAGTAAAAACTATTCTATGATTAGAAAAATAATTGATAGAGTCAGAAAGGGCAGAAAAGTAGTCTTGTTTTTTTTTTTCGAGAAACATTTATAGGACTTTAGGGAATACAATACACGTGTGTGGAATGTGGTGACACTGTCAAAAGAGTAATCATCAGCTACAAGTGTAATGGATTATTCAGCAAGAGTCGATGTCGTCATAGTTGATTTGACTGTCATGTTGACTCTTTCAACATCATTAATGAGCGTGACAGCCTGAACACACATTTCCGTCTAATGATACTGTGCTTTATGGTTGTTTGCTGATGGTCAGGGCATATCAGCACATGTGCGAGAGCAGCTGGGTAAAGGTTAAACTAATCAATGAGGTTTTTTGTTTATGTAATACAGCACATTATGCCCTGTGCGCACTTTTCACTTAATCACACTCAGACAGAACATCCACGGCTGTTGTGAAAACATCATTGTGTGTACTGTACATACACAAATGCTGACATTTTTTGTAGATCTTTCTTCTGCACAAAAGGTATTTTGAAGAATGTTTGGAAATGGTAAGCATTGACTTTGATAGTATTTGTTTTTCCTACTATGAAAGTCAATGGTTACAGGTTTTTAACATTCTTCCAAATATCTTCATCTTGTCTATACATGCAGAAATGCTGACCTTTTTTTGTCTGTTGAACACAAAAGAAGTTTTTTTGAAGAATGTTGGAAACAGGTAACCATTGACTTCCATAGTCTTTTTTTTTCATACTATGGAAGTCAATAGTTACAGGTTTCTAACATTTTTCAAAATAATTTGATGATGTATACATGCACAAACTCAGTTTTTTTTTTCAGATCGTCTCTTGAACATAAAAGAACAAGTTTTGTTACCACTGACTTCCATAGTGTTTTTTTCTTACTGTGGAAGTCAATGGTTACAGGATTCCAACATTCTTCAAAATATCTTCATTGTGTATACATACCAAACGGTGACTTTTTTTGTAGATCTTTCTTCTGTTAAACAAAAAAGAAGATGTTTTGAAGAATGTTGGAAACTGGTAACCATTGACTTTAACATTATTTGTTTTTCCTACTATGGAAGTCAATGGTTACCAGTTTCCAACATTCTTCAAAATATCTTCATCATTGTGTTTACATGCACAAATACTGACTTTTTTGTAGATATTTTTCCTGTTGAACACAAAAGAAGATGTTTTGAAGTATGTTGGAAACCGGTAACCTTTGACTTTCAAAGTGGGGTTTTTCTTACTATGGAAGTCAATGGTTACTGGTTTCCAACATTCATCAAAATATCCTCATCATTGTGTATACATACACAAACACTGATCTTTTTTGTAATTCTTCTTTTAAACACAAAAGAAGATGTTTTAAAGAATATTTGGAACTGGTAACCATTGACATACTGACCTTTTTATTTTTTAGATCTTTTGCTAAACACAAACTGGTAACAACTGACTTCAATAGTAGGAAAAACAAATACTATAGAAGTCAATGGTTACAGGTTTCTAATATTTTTCAAAATCTCTTCATCATTGTGTTTACATGCATAAATGCTGACCTTTTTTTTTTTAGATCTTTCTTCTGTTGAACACAAAGAAGACGTTTTGAAAAATGCTGGAAACCGGTAACTACTGGCTTACATAGGACTGTTTTTTCCTACTATGGAAGTCAGTGGTTACAGGTTTCCAACATTCTTCAAAATATCTTCTTTTTTGTTCAACAGAAGAAAGAATCATAAGGTGAATAACCTTTATGATTTATGATTTTAGATTCTGATTTGATTATTTTCAGGAAAAATTCAAATAGAATTATTTGAGTCATTCAAACGTCCAATCAAAATTCGCTACTACCTAACAGTCTCCTGTTTGAACCTTTAATTTGTGTGGTGTGACTCCACTTCCTGATAACAAAAATTCTATGCAGTGTTTACTTTTCATGTCTTTCCTCAAACCCCTTTCATTCTTTGATTTATTTTTCTTCTCCCACCATCATCTGATGGTCATTTTTTTCCAGAATACATGAATGCTTGGTGCCTTCAACTTCCTCTGATGCCAGTAATGTCTTCTGTTTCCTGGTTGTGTGTGTGATTTTTATTAAGCCATTGGCTGCTGCCTGACAGATCTCGCTCACTGACTACAGCATTAAGAGAACTGTAGTGTTTTACAGCAATGATGTGAGGCACTAAAACTCCTGAGTGAACTTGAGTGGCTTTTATTCAAATTACTTGAAAGTTCAGCTGCCTGTTACATCATCGTGAACATTACAGACTTCCTCTTTATTTGGATGACCTAGTTTTTTTCCCCCCAGAACTCAGAGTTACAATGCAGATGTGCATATGCTTTACGGATTTATTACACACTGGTGACGTTAACAGCGCATGAATCCCTTTTGTGGGCCTCAATGACTTGAACATTGAAGAAGAAATGATTGAATGGATGGATGTTTGGCTTCTGCTCTCAAACCAACATGATTGATTGAGTAGGGCTGCACGATATATCGTATACTTATCATTATTGCAATAATAGTAAATGCAATATATGTATCGCAGACATATATTTGATGCATTGGTTGTTTAACTAAATTAGACCAATTATGGGCCTTGCAATCTTTAGCCCCGCCTCCCCAGTAGTTGCTCTTCTGCTTTTGGCTGAAGGTGAACCCAGATATGAAAATAAATACTTATAGTAGGAAATGACAACAGCCAATCAGAGTCAGAATATCTGCTGAGGTTTTCACTCACTCCTGGTGATTTAAAGGCTTAATGTTTGCACCTTGACATGTTTTTTTTAGTCTGAATTAAATCTGAAAAATATATTTTATGTTTATTTTAATATTAATAAATAAATAAATGATTTAAAAACATAGCTTATTAAAAAATAGCATTTTTCTAAGGAAATTTTATATTGAAAAAATGGTGTTATCGCAATATTCAACAACAGTACCGCAAATTTTTCCAGTATTGTGCAGCCCTATGATAGAAACGCATGCAGAAAATCTTCATTTGTCTATATATGAATGAACATAATGCTTTTTGATTGCTGAAACTGCAGAATACGATCATAAAGATGACAATTTAATGTATAACATTGATTTTACTTCGTTTTTGATGTATATAATCATGTAGGAATCATACACATAATCAGATTAAAATTCTACAAACCCATGAACACATGGGGCACTATCATATACGCGGTCCAAAAGGCGCAAGACGTGTTTGGCATGACATGTTGCTATTTTCAGACCAGGGGTCCGTTCTTCGTACGTGGATTACTCAGTTAGCTGGATTTGGATTTTGACGATTTGACATGATCCAGGATCGTTTCGTTCTTCAAAGCTGATCTGAGAGTTGTTGTCATAGCAACAGTTCTGCTAGCTCAAACCTGATCGCAAGCAGGTTCAATTCATATAAACAGGATTAGATCGGCTCAGTTCAAGCAAAGATAATAGAGAAAGTACCGAATTATGATATTTTCTTACAGTAGTAGTTATATACACTTGGGAAAATAGTAAAAAAAAATAAATAAATTTAACTATATATAAAAATTTATAGTTATTAATAAAATAAAGTTATATTAACAAAACTTATGCAATCTGCACCTTCGAAAAGAAAGTACAAAAGAAAATGTATTGATATGAACTTTTTAGATTGCTTTATACAATTTGTGTATGATAAAAATGCAGAATATGTGACTTTTTAAAAAAAAGAAATAATACATTAATGCAGTCATGAACATGTTTTGACAGTTAATATGACAGTGATTTGATGCTTCACAAAAGTTGCAGACACCTTTACCAATATCAAAATGCTTTTGTAAACAACCAGTTATTCCATACAGCGATTAAAAAAACGGCTACTATAATAAAGAAAATCTTTTTTTAAATGTAGAACTAAATACATTGATATGCATTGAAATACATGATGAATACTCTTGACACATGAAAGTGGAAAGCCTGCAGCTCACAACAAATGTGGAAGGTTATTGCGTGTCATATTTAACAAACAGTTTACTGCTAATTTGACGTAAATTTGCTCACATGGATAATTGAATATTAATCAGATGATGTCATTACGCTGCTGTGCCGTCAGCCAATCGTTGCATTGCTGATCATGATTTCGAGGATCGATAGATCTGTCCTTCATAACACACGCAGCGATCTCAGATCAGTTCATCCAGACATTCTAATCTGATTCGCAAACTTGTTTGAAGAACCAAATTAGAAAGAGATCAGTTATCAAGATTAAAAGATCCAGGATCGGCAAAATCATCTTAGATCATTTAAGCGAGGTACGAAGAACGGACCCCAGTTCAATCCTAGTCTTTCTGTTTTGCCCCACGTTGTTTAAATAGTAAATCCATTTGCACCACTTTATGGACTCATAGGTGTGCCGCTCTAAAAAGGAGGCGTGTTAAGGCGCATTGTTGGTGCGCTGCTATTTAGAGGAACTGAAATACTAAAACAACTAAAAGCTGGTCTAAAAGTCCAGCACAGAGCATGTTAGCATGCTTACACATTGCTTAACACACACAGGATGTACAGCAATACACAATTATTTTTACAGATGAAAAAAATTAAAGGATTAATATGTTACAAAAAGTATTTTTTTACATAAATATAAAAACCACTATCTCCACCTTGGGGCGGCTTTTCTTCAGTTTATTCATGACAATTAGCATTTTTATAATTTTGTTATTATCAGCAGTATTATTATTTATTATCTGCATATTTATATTTGTTTTATTAAAAACTAGCTTAGATTTGCCCACCTGTCAGGTTTTGAACCATATGGGGCGTAAAAATAGGACGTGTGTTTGGACACAACTCAGTTTTTTGAGCACATTTCATTATTATTGTTTATTTATTTGTTTGCTGGAAATTAGGACCTAATTTAGAAGTAGTTTTGAAACAAATCTTTGCGCTTAACAAACTAAATGAACTATGTAGGCTAATGGATGTCTTCAGTGGAGTGTGTCCACACCGTTTCCTTACTCCACAAAGGTAAAAAGTAAAAGTGAAGAGAAAGAGAAAGTAAAGAGGCCGAATGGAGGAGCTTCATTCTTAATCCCCGCGCTGCAGATGCTCTATTTAACTGTTTTCCCGCTAGTGAAGCGTTCAGTTTTTCAGGGAATGGAATATGATACTCTGATTGGTTTAATGCACATTATGCTCAAAACACACCCAGAACTCATTAGGACAATAAGCTCAACCCTGTTAGATCATGCGGCATGGCACAAACTGTATTTTTCCAGCCTTAAAATAGCAAAAGTGGATTCGAACATGCCATTAATTAGTTTTTTTTGGCTAAATCATTAAAATAGAGCCCATGATCTCCAGATCTGCTCTGAGTGTGCTTTCTGCAAGCATTTTACCTTTTTTCTTTGAGTAAAGTTATCGTCATATATTGTACAAAGCATGTGTAATAGCCTGATCCAGTTACTATGACCATTTATGTGAAGCTGCTTTGACACAATCTACATTGTAAAAGCGCTATACAAATAAAGCTCAATTAAATTGAATTCAATTAAATTACATGTAAAATTAAATATATGAAAAAATAAATAAAGCTGAAAGCAAGAATCAGTTTATTATGTTTAACTTTTGTTTTAGTTGAGTAAAACTACTGCAAATTAAACTAAAGGTTGTGCAAATAGTCAAGGTCACCACAGCGGAATGAACCGCCAACTTATTCAGCATATGTTTTACACAGCGGATGTCCTTCCAGCTGCAACCCAGTACTTGGAAACACACATACAAACTCATTCTCACACATACACTACGGCAAATATAGTTTATTTAATTCACCCCATTGTCTTTGGACTGTGGAGGATACCGGAGCACCCTAAGGAAACCCAAGTCAACAGGGAGAACATGCTAACTCCACACAGAAATGCCAACTGGCCGTGCCAGGACTCGAACCAGCAACCTTCTTGCTGTGAGGCGACAGTGCTAACTACTGAGCCGCAGTGTTGTGATTTCTAAACATAATAGTTTTATTAACTCATTTCCAATAACTGATTTCTTTTATCTTTACCCTGATGACAGAACATAATATTTTACTAGATATTTTTCAAGATACTAGTATTCAGCTTACTTCGGCTTAATTAGGCAAATCATTGTATAACAGTGGTTTGTTCTTTAGATAATTGAACCAAAATATTTCTTAAGGGGGCTAATAATATTGACCTTAAACTATTTTAAATAAAAAAAACTGCTTTTATACTAGCTAAAATAAAACAAATCAGATTTTCTCCAGAAGAAAAAATATTATAGGAAATACTGTGAAAAATTCCTTGCTCTGGTAAACATCGTTTGGGAAACATTTGAAATAGAAAATTCACAGGAGGGCAAATAATTCTGACTTCAACTGTATATATTGCAAATGCTTTCTACTTTTTTGTATGATCGCAGATGGAAACTTCTAGCTTTTTTCTTTATCAAGGGCTCCACAGCTAAAATACAGTTTCCTTTGTTTATTTCCACCTTAGAATCTGTGAAGACAAGCTCGAGCAGTCGAACATCTTCAAAATGGAGGAGCAGGGAGGAAACCTGAAGGAGGTCATCCAGACATGTGCCTGCTCCACCTACAGCATCCCCTGCTCCTCATTTCCCTGCCCCGGAAGACCCAGCGAGACCAACGGAGAGTCCGACTCAGGCCTCAGCTCCTCCTGAGAACCACACACTCAGATGATGTAAACTTCCCACAATGCATCATGAGTAACGCACAAATACACTCTGTCATTAAGCCAAATGTCATTTGAGTTGCAGAATATAAGCACGTCAGATGAATGTTGTAGAGGGCAAGCATAAAATGTTATCTTAAAGGGATAGTTTATCCACAAAATGAGCATTTACTCACTTTTACTCTCTCTCAAGTGGTTCTAAACCTTTATAAGAGTCTTTATTCTGTTAAACACAAAAGGAGATATTTTAAAGAATGTTAGAAACATGTAACCATTGACTTCCATAGTTGGAAATACTATGAAAGTCAATAGTTACAGGTTTCCAGCTTTCCAGCTTTTGTAACCATTGACTTTCATGATAGGAAATACTATTGAAGTTACAGGTTTTCAGCAATCTTCAAAGTATCTTATTTCTCGTGTGTTGTATAGGACAAGAATAAAATGCTATCTTAAAGGGATAGTTTACCTAAAAAGCAAACATTCAGTCACTTTTTACTATCCCTCAGGTGGTTCTAAACCTTTATGATATTCTTTATCCTGCTGAACACAAAAGAAGATATTTTGAAGAATGTTAAAAAAAAACTGCAACCATTTATTCTCTTGTGTGTTGTAGAGTAGTGTTTCCTAGCCCTGTTACTGGAGGCACACCAACAGTACATATTTTGGATGTCTTCCTTATCTGAGCCATTCATTTCAGGTTTTGGAGTCTCTTTTAATGTTCTCATGAGTTTGATTCAGGTTTAAATCAGAGGTTGAAAATGTGTACTGTTGGTGTGCCTTCAGTAACAGGGTTTGGCAACCGTTGTAGAGGACAAGAATAAAAAGTTCATAGAATGTTTGAAACCGGTAACCATTGAGAAATGTCAATGGTTACAGGTTTTCAGAATTCTTTAAACTATCTTCCTTTGTGTTCAACAGAAGAAAGAAAGTCAGATTTGGAACAGGTAAATGACAGAATTTACATTTTTGAGTGAACTATACTTTTAAACGTTTTTAAAACAATATATAACGAAGAATGTTTGAAACCGGTAACCATTGACTTGTATAGTTGGAAATACAAATACTATTGAAGTTAATGGTTACAGGTTTTTAGCATTCTTCAAACTATCTTCTTGTGTGTTGTAAAGGATAAAATGCTATTTTTTGGGGGGTTAGTACAACTCAGAAAATGAGCGTTTACTCACTTTTTACTCTCCCTCAAGTGGTTCTAAACCTTTATGGTTTCTTATTTCTGTTGAACACAAAAGAAGATGTTTTGAAGAATGTTAGAAACCAGTAACCACTGACTTCCATAGTTGGAAATACAAGTACTATGGAAGTCAATGGTTACAGGTTTCCACCATTCTTCAAAATATCTTCTTTGGTGTTGTAGATGATAAGACTAAAATGCTATCTTTAAGGGATAGTTCACCCCCAAATAAACCAAACATTTACTCACTGTTTACTCTCCCTCTAGTGGTTCTAAACCGTTATGAGTTTCTTTCTTCAGTTGAACACAAAGATAGGTTTTCAGCATTCTTCAAAGTATTTTCTTGTGTTGTAAAGAATAAGAATAAAACGCTATCTTAAAGGGATGGTTCACCTAAAAGACAAACATTTACTCACTCTTTACTCTCCCTCAAGTGGTTTCAAACCTTTATGAGTTTCTGTATTCTGTTGAACACAAAAGAAGATATTTTGAAGAATGTTTGAAACCTGTAACATTGACATTCATAGTAGGAAATACAAATACTATGGAAGTCAATGGTTACAGGTTTTCAGCATTCTTCAAAATATCTTCTTTTGTGTTCAACAGCATAAAATATTTTCTTGAGTATTTAACAAAAGAAAGAAGATTTGTAACAAGTAAATTGTGAGTCAATGATGACAGAATTGTAATTTTTAAGTGAACTATCCCTTTAAACGTATTCAAAACAATACTTTTGCTTTATGTAGACAAATTGCTTTCTGGATGCAGAGATGGTGTATAGAATGTGTATTTTGCTTGTATACAAAAATGTATAATTCTTAATATTCAAGAGTGTATTGGGAACAGTTTTGAACATTTATGCAATTTAGTATTCAAAATGTCACGAACAACAGAAATGCAAGACTTCACAGAATTTGTTTAAAAGCTAATGCTTTATATTTAATAGCCTCACTCTGAGCTATTAAAGTCTCTTAAAAACAGATTTCTTTTTTAAATGACACTCATTAAGATGCATATTGTTATATTGTTTACTATATCAAACCACAGATTCATTTTTAAAGGAATAGTTCGCCAAAAATGACTCATTTCAGTTTATTTACTCACTCTCAGACCTTCAAACATAGATATTTTTGCTGAAATCCTTCATAAAATGCAACAGTGAGAGTCTAAAAACAAAATGAATATTCATGGCTTCAGTTTCACTTGATAATACCTCGATGCATTATCAGGAGCATGTTGTATTAATTTCATTAGGCTTGAATGTTTTTTTGACTCTGTATTGTATGAGGAGTTAAATCTTCTTTAATGTTCTTTTAAACAAATTAACTCACCATCTTGTATGGCCTGAGAGTAAGTAAACAAACACAAATTAGCATTTTTGAGTGAACTGCCCCTTTAAATGAAACCCTGATGGTCTCAGCAGAACAAAATGTAATCTTTTTTTTTCTTCTTCATCCAGCTGTGCAATTGACTGAACTGTTTGTGTAAATGTGTGTGTGTGTGTATATTCGGATGGATGTGCTGCTGGTTTCAGTGTGTGTGATTCATCTCGTTTCCTTTCGCATGTTTGCTGTTTAGAGACTCGGAGTATGAATCCACACACACAAGAACAATGCTCTAAGAGCCAGAATAAACTAATTTAATGCCAATCACAGATTCTGTTCTTCTCTTCCGGACGAGCACTGTGAAATCATTGCAACACATTGGTTGCACTTTTAAATGAGATGCACTATGGGTAGAATGTAGAATAATTAGATTCTTTTATACATAATTCTATAAAATATGCTGATGTGTTTAAATGTATCCTAAATAAAAATGTGTGTAGATGTTGTCAAAGCTAGTCAAAGACATTATGACATGACATTGTGCACTGAATTTAAACAGGTTTTATTTATAACTTGTGATCAGTTTTATTTTAGTTGATGTGGGTTTAATGATTTTTGTTTGTTGCTATTTTAATCAAACTATTGTCATAGTTTAGTTTTTAATTGTTTAGTTTAATTATAATCGTAATATAAATATAATAGCAATTTATTTTTCAAAACTGCTGTCACTGTATACAAAAATAATTCTGTCATTCATTTTCTTTTCAGCTTAGTCCCTTTATTAATCAGGGTTTGCCACAGCAGAATGAACCGCCAACTTAACCTACACATGTTTTATGCAGCGGATGCCCTTTGAGCCACAACCCAGTACTGAGAAACTATACAAAAATCAAAATATATATTAAAAAATATAATAAAAAGGTGAATTGATTTGAATTAAATACTATTATAATCACACAAACTCGATTACGTTTGCAGACGAGGTCATGGTGGCACAAACAGTCACATTAATCATTTTCATTTTAGTTTCAAATAATAATCACAAAAGGCCACACAATGAAGTAATGTGGGTTGCATTTTTATTTTTAAATGAACTTAAAGGGCACCTATTTTATCCCGTTTCCAGAACTTTCCCAATGATTATTTGATGTATTTGTTGTGGAGTTAATTCAAATATTTTGATGAGTTTGGGTATTGAACCGGTATTGAAGCATATTGTTTTATAATTGTACTGACATGCGGCTGTGGTGACAAAGACGCTAAAATGCACTATTTTTACGTATACAAGTTTAAAACATTTTAAAAACTCATTCGTGATCATATTTGAGGATGATTTATGATCACAGAGAGCTGATCAGATCTTTTAATCCCAGTTGCTTTGCGCAAGTCCTGTCTTGTTAAGCTGATTATATGTGTTACTAGAGAGATGTTAATATGTGGCTGTCAATCAATTTGGTGGGCAGGGGGACTGCACTCCCTTGTCACATTGCAGTTGGCCTCAAAATGGGAGGGATTTTTTACGTCAGGAAATTTTAAAAAAAGAGACTTATTGTGTTTGTATCACCCCAATATGACTCTGGACACACTTTACCTATACATACAGTCCTGTCCAAACAGCTTTCAAAAGATGATTTTCATCATAGTTGCCCTTTAAATAATATTTTTAACCCAATAGTTGGGTTTGTCCCACACATTAACCCAACATTTTATTTGAGTATAGTAAAGGTAATAATCATTTCTATGAAATTAAATATTTCAAATGTTTGATTGACTGTGCTGGCGTGGGTTTCCTCCGGAAAAGACATGTGCTATAGGTGAATTTAATGAACTAAAAAAGCCGTAGTGTATGAGTGTGTATGGATGTTTCCCACTACTGGGTTGCAGCTGGAACAGCATCTGCTGTGTAAAACATGTGCTGGATAAGTTGACGGTTCATTCCACTGTGGCTACCCCTGATAAATAAGGGACTAAGCCGAAAGGAAAATTAATAAATGATTGACCGTGATTATGTGTATCTCTGTGTGAGAGAGAGTGTGTGTGTGTGTGTGTGTGTTTGTGTGTGTGTTTGTGTGTGTGTGTGTGTGTGTGTGTGTGTGTGCGGATGTGTCTGTATATGTGCATGTATCTCTGTGTGTGAGTGTGTGTGTAAAGTGAATTTATATATTTGTCTATGACCAAACACCCAAAAGCATGAAGGGGTCAGCATTAAATAATATTATAAGCACACAGTTATACTTGCATTAGCAGAAGAGGTAGGTAAACAAATGAATGAAGACTGTTTGCATGCCATTTTTTGTTAAAGGGTTAAAGCTATCGAAGTTTGATAGAGGATGATAAACGTTGGAGTAAGTGAACTTCATTCAAGTGCCCTTTAAATGTGGGATGTTTAAATGCTCTTTTATCCTTCACAGGTGAGCTGCTGATAGATGTGTAGTGTGATGTGTTTGACTGCATTAATATTTGAGCATTGTGCTCTGCCTCTTCCTGTTTGTTTTTCCACCTTAAACACAAAAGCAGCAATGGAAAAGCACCAGCAGATCTGCTCACATTCACTCTAATGGCTGTGTCTCAAATCATCGACAGCCTGCAGCATTTTCAGGTCTCTTCTAACTTCTGTTGGTTACAGTAAACTTTATTGTGATGGGGTCGGATTTCTGTCTTAAATCCATCCCAGAAAAGATCAACCTTTCTCCTTTTTCTCATTACTTTAGATGATTGTTTGA